TCTTAATAATAGTCTAGCAAGTGATATTGGAAAGTTTGGCAGTGAAATAATAACTTTAAAGGTGTAAAATAAGCGATTATAGTTGATATGAAGCTATAATAACAATTATAGTCATTTAATTCAAACGTAGATGGCGCTACAATGGAATTTCTTCCTTAAATTCACAAGACAACTCTGAAAATAATTTATACGCTGCCTAAAGTTATACACTAATAAATTTTTAGTCTAATGTAGTCTAATAAAAATAATACCTGATTAAAATTGACATTTACCTCACTGCGCAATTGTATATAATTGAAATAGTTTGCTGATTGTACTAACATCAAGAAACACATTAAGACAACAATTCCATTACGCTGTCGTCGATAAAACGCTTTTGAACGCTTCGGCCGTTACACAGCGCTTTGTTTATTATACCTCCTGCATTGCAGCAGGCTTGCACATTGCACAAATAACTGAAATGCACACAGAAATTAAACTAAATCGTTAAAATGCTCGCCTAATTGCTCCAAAATCCAATTAACGCCGTATAAAGACAACTATAACAACCAACAAGTCACAAAAATTCTCCACGACTGGAAATTTATCTTATATGATAGAAAAACCACTCAAATTCCGGAGATTTTTCAAAGTTTTGAAAGTTTTCAACTAATTACACTCAATACCAATGAATTGAGTTTGAACATAGAGAAGCAAGAAGAGAAAATGTACGAGTGACATTTCTACTTGTTACAAACATCTTAATTAGTTCAAGAAACAAGTTAATTAACAGCAAAATCAATATTTTAAAATTAAATTAATTATTCTTCTGTTAGTTTTCATTTATTGCACGCGTTTTAGTTGAAAAACTTTTCGCTAAGTATAAATGTCTAGCCTGAATTAATGAACCTGCCTCACATAATATGCTCAAAGGAGTTGAAGGCGCAAGTTATTTCTAAATTGAGTAACTTTGACAGCTTCCCAGCGCTGCGTATCTAGTAATTTGAAATGTTTTAAAAAATGAACCTCTCTGTTGGCGTGACGAATGTGCTCGCTTTCCGCATGATTGACTCGCCTGGCGTCACTTTGCTCGCGACTGCGGTGCGCCATATTGAGTGTCGTCGCCATTTAAATGTCGCGACACTACTAAATATTGTCATTCTTCAATTTTGTTACAATATTCGTAGTTAAAGCCATGTAGTCATGCGATTGTTATTTATAACTTGCGAGTCGGTACACGGCGGCCGTTTATTAAATACGCATAAAAATAAATTCATCTGTGCGTTTATTGTGTGACGGTTGGCGATGCGGGTAACATTGTTGGCGGTTGTGTGACTTTTCTTCGTTGTGAAAGCCTCGGCAGCCAGCGCCAAACTTGGTGCGTACAACTTTATCAGTCTACGTATGGCGCACACGCCGCACGCACGCCGCATGGAGTAACAGCATTATGGCATTATGCTTTTCCAATAACATAATGGACGATGGACGTTTTTAATTCGATTTGTCAGCGTTCGTTAGACGCCGGCGAGAAATCGGAGAACATTTACAGAACAAGTTGGGAAATATTTCATTGCCTAGGATGTAAAGTGAAGTAAAGTCGTGCTGGAATGTTATAGATACTCAATGGAAGATTCATGTGGTTTGTATGTTGTAAGTTATTCAGTTGTGATGTAGCTACTAATTTAATTCTTTATAAAAATGATTATAAATTATTATTTTACTGTTTTTACTCGTGATATCTTCTGTGATGGTTTTAATAACACGTAGATCAACTAATTTATTGTTTATTGGACTTATTATGTGTTAATTTTGTCAATAAAATGCAAAATATTAATTTTAACACTAAAAATGGTAATAGTGCATTGTAACGCCATCTAGAATCAAAATATATAACTATATCCGTATAAACTGTCAATCCCTATCCTTAATAATATTATAAATGCGAAAGTCCTGATGTTTGTTACACTTTCACGCAAAAACTACTTAACCGATCATCATGAAAATTTGTACACATATTCTTAGTGGTCCCCGAATGGTTATAGGCTACTTTTTATTTAATAAAAAAAATTATTTTTTAAATAAAATAAAGAAATTGTTTAGCCAATAATACCTCTGCATCTGACTATTTGACTACTTTAACGCCATCTAGCATTCCAGCAATGAAGCTCAAACCTAAGTACTATAGTACCATCACACTGTATTATCACACTGTATTACCGACAGCTACGTCAACATCAAATCCAATTGACTACACTATAGAGACTGTACACTATACTTCCATAGATTATACTTTCAGCCATTTTAAACTTCCCGCCATTTTACTTCATTGTTACTTCTTCTGTGACTACAGACGCGTACGGAAGCAACTTCATTGTTTTAGATATTCGCTAGCGAAGCCGCGAGTTAAAGCTAGTTCGTTATAAAAATGATTTTAAATTATTATTTTACTGTTTGTTGCTCGGGATATCTTCTGTGATGGTTTTAATAATACGTAGATCAACTAATTTTTTGCTTTTTGACATTTTATGCGCAAATTTTGCCGATAAAACTCCAAAATATTAATTTTAACACTGAAAAATTGCTAATAATGCTTTGTAACGCCATCTGAATTCAAAATATATAACTATATCCATATAAACTGTCAACAAAAAATATTTTGCTTCAAAAATTAGACTGTTTACTTGTCCTTGGTCAAAATTATCTAAATACCGAACTTGATTCAGTGATTTGCACTCCCAAACTTCACAAACAAACAAATTTGCATTTATAATAGGTAAAAGTCAGAAATTATTTTAAGTACTGTTGGTTGCCTATAATGATTACAAAACTAATTGGTCTTAGAATTTTTTGTAACTATAATTTACTGCATTTTAATACTCTAATAAGTAAATTAATATAATATAAAAGACCTCTAAAACTTTTCCATTAATTTAATACATTATTCAATCACAAACTACGATTTTTCAAAAAATTTCCACGCCAAATACAACAAACCGACGTGTTCTTGAAGGTAAATGTAGAACGAAACTTTTCCATTCGATTCTTCAATTGGCAATTAACACAATTAAACAATTAGGCCGAGCGTGCCGCAATAAAAGCTAAATTTAAATGATAATTGTTTGTCGAACCAGCCAGCGTACAAATCGCCGGAGATAAGAAACGCGCCTTCGGAGGATTCAAACACAAACATAGGTACTACGAATGTGTAAAATTAACCGTGCGCTTCATATGCAAATGACCCTGCAGATACTAATTATTACAATACACTAATTGCACTACTGTGTAATCAACTAATCGCGCATTTTCTTCAATTACATTTAAATCTGCACATTAAAAGTTCAACAACTTTTTTTTTAACGCGTAAAATACAAAAATTGTGGTTTTTTGAGTTTTTAGTCTAAAAACGTTAAATTTTTCACAATAATAAATCTATATATATAAAAATGAATTGCTGTTCGTTAGTCTCGCTAAAACTCGAGAACGGCTGAACGGATTTATCTTATCTTGGTCTTGAATTATTCGTGAAGGTCTAGGGAAGGTTTAGAAGGTGAGAAAAATTCGAATAATTGCCGGGAAAATCCTCTAAACAGCTCTTTTCTATAGAATAACATTTGACATTGAAATTCAATCATAGTTATAGTTAAATAGTTGAATTCGAGATGGCGCGCTGAAGTGCATTATTGACAAAACTTTATATGCATAATTTCTTTAAATTAAAATTGCTAATCTTATTGATAGAATTGACTCTTACTACGAATATGTCTAGAACAAGAGAGTAAAAACGAATTACATTTTTATTAAACACTGCCGGAACGAAGTCGCGGGCAACAGCTAGTGTTAAATAATTCTATTTTACGTAACTGCTAACTCCATCTATTGGAAGACAATGAAAACTTTGTCTAATTCCTTGACAAATCACTTCTTGCAAATATTCTGCATCTTTATGAATGTATTCGGGTGGTGGGCGTGCGAGTGCATACAAAAATCAGTTGGCCGCGTGCCAAAACGCCGCTAATATTTCACTCCGGCTGCAATTTGTTGCCCGCCGCCGGCCGACCAATCATGCTAATGACATGTTTATCTCAACGCGCCTTTCGCGCCGAGAAAACATCGGCAAAACACGCCGAAAATTACGCGCGCGTTTTAATAAATGCAATTTACGAGCCAATGCGCCGAGCATTTCAAATAAACACTCGAAAATTTACGACACATTCGCAAAACGATTTAATATCAATATCTTTCTGTATTTCTTTTTTATTTTATTCCGGAAGTAAACCACTTAGGAAGCAATCCGGGTTCTTTGTGTTCAGCTTAATTCTGGTTCTCGAAAAACGGAAAACCCGAAAATAAAAGAAAATCGTTTTGCTTTCCCCCATTCGGATGGGATCGAACTCCATTCATGTAATTACCATTGTCCGTTGTCATTGTCATCTGATCATAATGAAGTAAGGACTCGATTTCATCAAAAGAGAAAATCAGAAAAAGAAAAAAAAAACAATTTCATAACCTCAAATCAACAGCTATCAAAATGGCCTCCTAAATAATCAATTTTTTGATATTTAATTAAAATCTGTCTCTATTACTGCCTAGGCAGTAAATTAAAATGCTACTTTAATGCCTAACAACATTTTTGTGTTTATTGCATTGAACTTTTGAGGTGTCCGCCATTTTCGCGATGAAATAGCCGCCGGAAATTTGTTCCCCGTCTCCGATGGGTTTTCATGGGCATGATGGGAGCGTTTTATGCGAATTTGGTGAGGCGCAACGCGTCTCCCGTTTTTCCATATAAAAAAGAAAAAAACTTTACGGACGTTTGTTTTTATCGCGTCGTGAAGGCGTACGCGGGACACGAATTTACACGATTGCCGGCCATCCCTCGAATGGAATTGAAAGCGAATGAAGGATTTTCACATTTTCGCATTTCCACGTCGTTTCGCAAAGGTCGCAAATGGATATTGCACCATAGCACAACCATATTCAATAGTCTACAATATTTTATATAATATTATCAATTTACTTACACATTTCTTCACCGAGCACCCATACTTCCGGTCTGGAATTCACCTCAACCAATACAGTAGGCGTACAAACCAACAGGACCATTAAATCAGCAACGCTGAGATTAACCAAGAAGATATTCGTGCTGTTGCGCATGTCCTTGGTCTTGAAGATGACAATCGGCACCATCACGTTACCCACGACGCCCAGACACATGATGAGTATGCAGAAGACCATCGAGGTGGTGCGAATGTAACTGGGAAAGACCGGATTGTAGCTGCCATTAGGTGGCATTGCACCCAACTGCCCACTGGTGGAAATATTCTCAAAGATGCTGGTGTTACCACCACCGCCATTACTATTGATGTTGACATTGTTGCTGGTGGTGAGATTGTTGAAATACAACGGGTATAAATCGGTGGCGTTGATGGTTGACGCCGAGGTGGCGGTGGTGAAGGTGAGGAGAGTCGTGGTCGCGAGCGCCGACGAAATCATATCATCATCGTCGCGCGCCTCGACCCGGTGCACATTTTATTCACTGGTTCACATTGTAGATTATCTGAAGAGTTTGTAAAGTGTTTGAGATGTTGTCTTGTTAATATTGGAATCATATCATTTTTAACGCGCACTGAATTTATTTGAAACGTGGTCACATTTTTTAAAGTTTTAGGTTATTTTGTTGGATGGATGGATTGTTTTGTTTGTTTTTGTTGTTAGTTATGTTTACGCGTGATCGCGCGTTCGGGGAGCGGAGGCAGTGGTTGCGGTTAGCGTGTGTGCACCGTTCGCGCGTCTGTCGCGCACTGAAGGCGCGTCGCGGCGTGGGCCGTCGCGAGATGCTCGATTTGCTCGATTTGCTCAGCCCCCGAAATCTCGCGCGGCTCGCGAGAGTGCCTCCGCTGCACGCGTTTCATGCCAGGTACTCCAACAAGTTACGAGTTGAGTTATGCCGCAAAACACATAGTAAAACATGGCATTTTCGTGTGATTGTAAAAATTATGTACAAATTTTAAGAATGTATCATGATACTGCAGTAGTAATAAAGTAAGAATAAAAAATAATTAGTAATTCATTAGCAATTCACTATTTAGCAGCTAATATTGCAGATTTGTTGTTGAATTGTGTATAAAAAGTTGTCTATATTAAATCCCTACTATTATTATAAATGCGAAAGTCCTGATGTTTGTTACACTTTCACGCAAAAACTACTTAAACGATCATCATGAAAATTTGTACACATATTCTTAGTGGTCCCCGAATGGTTATAGGCTACTTTTTATTTAATAAAAAAATTATTTTTAAAATAAAATAAAGAAATTGTTTAGCCAATAATACCTCTGCATCTGGCTATTTGACTACTTTAACGCCATCTAGCATTCCAGCAATGAAGCTCAAACCTAAGTACTATAGTACCATCACACTGTATTACCGACAGCTACGTCAACATCAAATCCAATTGACTACACTATGGAGACTGTACACTATACTTCCATAGACTATACTTTCAGCCATTTTAAACTTCCCGCCATTCTATTTCATTGTTACTTCTTCTGTGACTACAGACGCGTACGGAAGCAACTTCATTATTTTAGATAGTCGCGAGCGAAGCCACGGGTTAAAGCTAGTTTATTATAAACGCAAATACTCCATTGTGTATGTGGAGTTGCCTACTCTTGCAGGAGACCCATAGGTAAAGTTCATTATATATCCTCTCAAATTTCAAAATTTGCCAGCATTTAAACCTAATTTAACGTACTGTAAACAAATTCATGAAGAATTCTTTGGATTAGCATTAGAATCTTAAAACAAATCAAGATAAGTAAACGTATTTTAAGCAAAAATTACAAAAAATTAATTAGCAATTAAATCAAACGTGTGAAAATCACCAAAAGAATGGAAAAAGCAAAAAATTATTCTTTGATCACAAAACCTACGTTCACTTTTCATCTGTCTGTCAAAAAAAAAAAGGGAAAAAAACCTAACTTAGTCACACTGACCATCCTGAATAACAGATGACTATAGTAAAAATCTATGATTATTCTTACTATTATTATTATTATCCTTCCGTATTTAATATGTATTAACCCTGATGTGTCTCTCATTCGTACATTCACCTCTGCACTTGCTTTGCTTAACCCGCAAGTTTTTCTTCCCTCCTTAGACTTTTTGTTGCTTTTCTCGCATACTCGTAGATACGCAGTCAGCACACGATTCTTTTTTGTGTGTCTCGTTTTCTTTTTCATTTTGATCTTCACCCTGGAGCGTGCCAACGGACAACCACCTTTTTTACATTCGCAAGACTTCTTCCTGGTTCTCAGTTCTCATCATTGCCGTTTCCTCGCGATCTGAACGCCTCAACGTCTTTAACATTGCGTATTCAGTTTCTGCACGCATTGCGATCATTATTCGCTTGCCTTTAACCTTGAAAGGTTTGATATCCTTGATATCTAAAGTCGTGGCATGCCTTAACATTCCAATTTTCTTCCAACATGCAAACTCTTTTACCTACGTTTTCAGTATAACCTTTTTTTTGTTATTTAATCTTGAACTTGACTTTGGCTTTCTTTTTCACATTTCCATTATCACTTTTCTTTGCTCTCGTGCTCTTCATACTCAAGTGAAGTTAAACTTTACAAATATTCATAAATTTTCATTAACTTTAAGCATAATGCTGTGAAAAGTGAAGAAAATCTTAATGAAAAACACCAGAAAATGCGTGGGTTTTAAAAACATAAGTTTTTCTGTTTTAATTACAAGCAAAAACGCCTTAATGTGCAAAATGTTTCAAAATAAAAAAAAACAATGTACTTTGGGTTACCTACATCAAGAAAACATTTTTTTCAATCAATAAAAAAAGTTATTAAATTTGATTAATCATTAAAAAACCCATAAAATTTACTAAAATTTCTTAAAATATTTAATTTACTTAAATTTAATCTACTTACACTAAATTTCCAATAACAAAAATAAACCTAATAAAAGTTTAATGTAAATTTAGTTGCCTACATTAAACTAGCATTACCTCATGTTCCTCGCAACAAAATGCTAATCTTATCTAACTTTACTAAGCTCAGTTCAGCTCAGCTCGACTAGTTAAATTTCCTGTCGCGCGTCCTGCGAAAAAATCCAATATCGACCTTAACTGCCCAGTGTGCCTATAGTGATCTATTGCCTCTATTGCCTTTTTGCATCCGCGCACATGTCACACATGCACGATCTTTTCCGTCGTTCTCCAACGTTTCTTTTCACTGCCTGACCGCCACCGGTTGAGCACGGGTTGAACTCTTTGTCATTTCGTCCTTTCGTGCTCTCAGCAATCAATCACATATTGTGTTGCGACGCCGAGCGGCAGATTTATAGCGTAATGGCGTCCGGCGTTCGAAAGTTGAAAAATGCAGAGCGCAAACGTGACTGGCACTAGCGACAATAACAATTATTACGATTGTGTTTTGTTTCGTTTAGTGTCTAAACGTCCGAACAATTACGCTAAATGTCAAGCCGAACGTTAAAAATTCAAATCGCCATCGGACAGCGCCGTGTAATTTATTGTCGCCGACGAGAGAAAGAAATAAATCTCAGCAGTTTGTATTTTATATTTATTATTAGACATTGACGGCGGGCATTAGACGTTACGGTTTTTATTTCTGCTACATTACATAAGGATAATTATTTATGGCATTTAACAAACAAACCATTAACATGGAATTCTATTTTATTTTATTGTGAATTTATTCTTTTAAAGACTCATTCATAAAAATACATTTTTTCTACTTCCATCTTTGCAACGTTAGTTTTTCCATGGTTTTAAGACTCAAAAAGTTGTATTTTAATCATCGACGGCCAAAGTCGTGACTAAAGTGCTTTAGCCACGGGTTTTAGTCACGGGATGGAATTTAGCAACTTTATATTTACTATACTATAAAGTAGTGACGACTAAAAAGCAACTAAAAGATATTTTGCTATATTTATCACTAGCTTTACCCCTTGGCTTCGCTCGCGAATATCTAAAATAATGAAGTTGCTTCCGTACGCGTCTGTAGTCACAGAAGAAGTAACAATGAAGTAGAATGGCGGGAAGTTTAAAATGGCTGAAAGTATAGTCTATGGAAGTATAGTGTACAGTCTCCATAGTGTAGTCAATTGGATTTGATGTTGACGTAGCTGTCGGTAATACAGTGTGATAATACAGTGTGATGGTACTATAGTACTTAGGTGTGAGCTTCATTGCGGGAATGCTAGATGGCGTTAAAGTAGTCAAATAGCCAGATGCAGAGGTATTATTGGCTAAACTATTTCTTTATTTTATTTAAAAAATAATTTTTTTATTAAATAAAATAGCCTATAACCATTCAGGGACCACTAAGAATATGTGTACAAATTTTTATGATGATAGGTTCAGTAGTTTTTGCGTGAAAGTGTAACAAACATCAGAACTTTCGCATTTATAATATTAGTAGGGATTAAACTAACCTCAAAATAACAAAAACAGTTTTTCCGAGTCTTAATCATTGTATGGCTACTTTTAAACATAACCTTATTTGACAATACAGTTAATAAACCGCCTTTTGTCCATTAATATCCTGTTTTTGACAATCATTCGCTAATGACTGCTGATTACAATAATTTAATTGTATTAAATCCTATTAATAAATGATCACACAAAACATTGCAGGTTGTGTAACCTTGCAACGTAATTGTCGTTGTGTGGCAATTTTGCGACGGCCATTTTACAATTCGAATGCCTATTCAAGTACTCAACGAGCGTTATTAAAATTATGCCCAGCCATTAATTGAGTTTTCCTCATTAGTCGGCGCTCATCCGAGCGCACAGTAAATTCATTTTTAACTTTTATTTAATAACACATATCAATAAATATTCATAATCTTCATGAAATCCACTGGTCGTATAATAGGTGACTGAGTGTTAAATATAAGGTGTAAGTTTGTTGTAAGAATAACTTTTAGATACGATTCATGGCCACTGTGAAATGTCATTATCAGATGCTGGCTTTCGTTTTCCAATGACAACGCAATTTTTTCCAGACGGTCTACTTCCGTTACATGGCGGCACATGATTATGTCCTAAGGGGTGACAATTATTTATTTAAAACATTGTTTTTATTTTTTAAATAATTTTTCTGTGGTAAATTTCACCTCGTGACTAAAGCCCGTGACTAAAGTATTTTAGTCACGACTTTGGTCATCCGTGTTTAAAGTATCACTTTTTGTGCCTAAAAACCGGGGAAAAACTGGTGAATTAAAGCTGAAAATAAAAAAAATAGTTTAAATATTTATTATTTAAGTAAAATAGTTGTTTTCATGATTATTGGAAGCAATTTTTAAGTTATTACTTGTCATGTTTTTCAAATGAATTGTTAGAACTGAATGTGTTATGGAATTACCAGAAATTCAGAAAGAATGATGAAATTACGAATTAATTTGCTCATTACTACTCTTTATACACTGCCGTGACACTGATATTTTTTCTCCAATGATCTTCTATGCTTATTTTTATCTGGATCATTGAAATCTAATTAATTCACGATCAGAAACAGTAAACACGCGATTTACTGTTGAGGTACTCGTATAACTTTATTGGTATTATAATGTTGACCGTGAATTTTCTCTTCCTCAATTTCAAATCCATTTTTTATTTTCATTGTCATCTCCACAGCAGACACTAAACACCAAACAAAAATAGAATGATGAAATCGTACGTAGATTTCATTTTGAAGCACAATGTAAAAATATTACTAGAAAAAAATCAAAAGAATTCAAAGAAAAAACATTAATTGCAAACAAATGGTATGAATTATTTATAATTAAAAAATAATGTAGTTGAATTGTATTAAGAAATTTTTAATTGGGATTACATCAGAGCTATTGTAGTATGTACTTAATAAATATTTTTTTTTAACTTTTTCTTTTCCTCTTTTGTGAAATATAAAAAAAATTAGAAAAAATAGCGGAAGACAGAATGCAAAAAATGCAAAAAAGCATATTTTGTGTGCTTGTGCTACACCGTCGACAAATGCGCAGGCGCAAGCTCCACCCCGTGACTAAAACCCGTGACTAAAGTACTTTAAAATACTTTTTCTGACTCAAAACCGTAGAAAACTGGGGCTTTACAGCTGAAAATAGAAAAAATATAAAAAGTATTTATAAAAACTGTGTAATTTGAATAATTTTTCCTTATAACAAAACTTTTAACTTTATATACTTAATTATAATGTTTTAATAGTTATATTTTCATCGGCAATAAAATAATGCAAATTCTGATCTTCAGCAATCCGTATGTAGGTGTTATTTTAACGCATTGCGTCTTCCATTAACGATTTACGTTAAGTACCTATAAATAAATTATTTTTCTGGCATTCACTATCCGTAAACGTATGCGATTACACTTAAGTAATTGACGCACAAGCATGCCAAAAGAATGAGTTGTTTACAACTATTTGTGTTGTTATTTGTTTAATTTAGGGATATTACATGAACGTAATAAACAAAACTCCTCAGAATGAACTCCTACCTTTAATGAAATGTTACATGAATGGTATTTGTATCACCATACCTCACCACTCTTTAAACTCCTGCTGCTGCCACTGCTCTCTTCTCCATGCGACTTTCTGCGCGCATAAATAGCGAACGCGAGCGCACGTTTTGCCAATAGATGCCCAAACGTGACTCCGCAAAGCAAACCGCACGCAAGAAACAACCATCACACGCACATATCATCGATTCGACAATTCGCACGCTCTTTTATTTGGTTGCGTGTTGGCAAAGTGCGAGCGGGTTTTTGCGAAAAACACCTTAATAGTGCGTGCGCGCGTTTTGGTGCGGCGAGTTGTTCAAGTGTCATCGACTGCGACGTCTTCGGCTCATTAGTAGTACTTGTCGGTGGTGTGTCGGCGTGTTTGTTGATTTTCTGGTTCTTCAAGTTTCAATTCGGAGCGAGTTGTCGTTGCGTCCGGCAATCACTACCTAAACCACGATTGACGAAAATATTTGACTTGCGTGCTCGAAGTATTTTTCATTTGACGGCGATAATTAACTGTTTGGCTGCTGAAAGTGTAATAAAAGTGAAATTTAGAAGAATTATAAGCATCAATCGACAATAATTCAAAGTAAGTTAATATTATTTCATAGATATTCTTTTAGTATTATTCTAAATGTTTTAAAATCCAAAATGGAATGAAATTTTGCATCACGTGTGTAAAATAAGATTTTTAAACACGCAAACTATTCAAAAGTCCCTAAAAGTTATTGAGTTAATTAGATTTGTCAAATTTAAAACAAAAAAACTTAAAAACTGCCTCCGATTTGTTGTTTTTGTCATTTTTTCAATTTCAAGCTCCACCCCGTGACTAAAACCCGTGACTAAAGTACTTTAGTCACAACCTGGGCCATCCGTGTTTAAAATACTACTTTTTGTGTCTCAAAACCATGAAAAATGGCCTTTTAAAGGTGGAAGAAGAAAAAACAATTTTTTTTTCTAATTTTGTGAATAAAAGCAACAAATAATTACTTTTTGCAAATAACTTATGTAATTATGACTTATTAATTTTAATGCCTGTAATCTTCAATTGCATCTACGACTATAGCGACGGCGGCGACGGTGCGTTTAATTAAATCCCCGCAATCAATTGTTAGCCGCTGTGGCATTGAGCCGCAGCGCAGCAATTTGTAGTTTTTAATTTCATACTCGAGTCGAAGCGCACAATTGTTCACGCGATAAACGCTGCAACACACCGTGGAAAATTGAACCTATCTATATCTATCCAAAGAATATTATTACGAAACATTTATTTTGTTATTCAAATTTTTTACTCGTAAATAATGGAAATAAAACAATCGGCTAGACTATAGACTAGGTGCGATTGGCGCTAGTTATACTCGTAAATCAATAGTCGAATCTCGCTAACAGATAAATAAATTTGCATATTCTTAATTAACTAATATTGTAATATGTAATTGTGTTAATTGTTCAGTCGCGTTAATTATCATAAGCTAGTGAACGAGTGAACGCAATCGTGCAATATGTTACATGTTGCAGGTTACACCACTTCGACATGCTGGTAATTGTTCTGTGATTTGTATCATTCGATTATTATCTTGTCGGACAATTTGTTCTCGACGCGCATTACACATTCTTGATAGGTTTCACTTAGGTACTAATAACATACGTTCTATAACATTGTCGAGCGCATATTTGTTTTCAAAGTTCATTGAGTAAAATAACTATGGTTGAGTTAACGTACAATTATCGAACACCACACGAGAATAGTGATAATAATAAAAAAATTGCAAAAATAAAAATTTTGAATTTTATTGACGAATTTTTAACATATCTACATAAATATATAAAAATGAATTGCTGTTCGTTTGTCTCGCTAAAACTCGAGAACGGCTGAACGGATTTATCTTATCTTGGTCTTGAATTATTCGTGGAGGTCTAGGGAAGGTTTAAAAGGTGAGAAAAATTCGAATAATTGCCGGGAAAATCCTCAAAACAGCTCTTTTCTATAGAATAAAATTTGACATTGAGATTCAATCACAGTTATAGTTAAATAGTTGAATTCGAGATGGCGCGCTGAAGTGCATTATTGACAAAACTTTGTATAATTAATTTCTTTAAATTAAAATTGCTAATCTTATTGATAGAATAGACTCTTACTACGAGTATGTCTTGAACAAGGGAGTAAAAACGAATTACATTTTTATTAAACACTGCCGGAACGAAGTCGCGGGCAACAGCTGGTTAATAATAAATATGATTAGTTTTATCCAAATTAATTATATTAAAATAATTGAATAATAATTTTCCTTTGCTTACTTTAAATATCAAAGTAAATAAATAAATGATTTGTACTTATGCATGCATCAGGTTATTGCCTCCGTGGTAATTACTTGCGCTACTCGTGGTCGAGCGCGCTTGAACACCGTCTTGAGGTTTTCGAAATTGTGTCAAAAGCGGTCGGCCAAGCGCGACGCCGCCGAACGAATTGCAAAATTTCTCGAAGGCGAACCCACGACAAGGTCGCTCGTTCCGCACTGACCACACCAACCACAATTGCATTACTAGCCACAGCAGAGACTAAACGCTTCAATTTTTCACAATTATCGATCCGCTTTGCATAAATATGTTTTATTAATTTGCCACAGCCCCAGTCACTGATAATAAATTGGTCAAATTGTGGAATGCATGTTGGGCAAGAGTTTTGAGTCATTTGAACAAGGTTATGATATGTGACATTTTATAAAACTATATAAATGTATAAATATATAGAAAACAAAGTTGTGTTAGTTAAATCGTTTATAACTTAAGAACAACTGGACGGATTTGGATGATTTTTGATTTATTGGATTCATATTTGCCTCGAATAGAAGAATAATTATTAAAATGTTGAAAAATATTACTTATAGGGTGTTAAATAAGGGATGAAAACTGGTATAGAGATTCAATCATAGTTATAGTTAAATATTCGAATCCTAGATGGCGTTTTAGTACGTTTTTAGCATTACTCATTTCTATAAAATAAAATTCAATATTAAATTGTTTTAAATTCATTTAAAAAACAATATTTTAAAATAAAAATTCATTTCTTTAAAAAAACATAAAATTTAATCTAAAAAAACTGTCGAAATTTTAGATCATTAACATTACATTAGTGTTTTTTTAGCACAAACTGTGAAATGTGTGTTTGTGCTCGACAATAAAAAAAAAAAAACGAGCGAAAATTTAGAACGAGGTCTCGCCGATTATTCGACGCATTAAACTATTAATTCATAATATTCCCAAAGCTAATAAAAAAGGAACTCATTCGCATTCATTCACGCTGCATTATCTTATCCGCGCTCACTGTTTTAATTCCGACGCAAAACAAAACAATCTAAGCGACTTTATAGCAACTACAGCATCTGTTCTGCAACACATTAGCAATATACGAGTAGCAGCAATTAATTTGCAAGAGTTTTGATGGCCGGTGTTAAGAGCTAATTTTATTATGAATAATTGACGAGCGTCTGTCAAAAACGAGAGGTTTTCGAGATCGAAGGCAGTAAATTTAAACAGAGCGAGGACGCGCGTTCAAATATTAATTCAATTTGCTAATTTGTATTGATATTAGTGAATCGAGCGGAAAAATACAGATTTTAGACTTGTTTTGCTAAGGTATTGTAGGAAGGAAATAGGAAGTTGTGTTTTTACAATGTTTTCCTAGTAAATCTTTATCTACCTCTTTATTTGTATTTCCGGTTGTAAAAATATATAGACGGTTTGTATATTTAAGATAAGTGATATTCAAAATAACTGATAATTAATTGAGTTTAGAGATAACTTTATGCGCATTAAAGTTTTATTGGTTGCATACATTTAAAAAATAGTTATCTTTAATCTTTAAATATAATATCCACTAAATTAGGTTAGATTATCATGAATTTATCAATTAATACCAAATAATATTTTATTATAAACTTATAAAAGTTTATAAAATACTGTAAGTAATAAAATTTGATACTTTGACTATAAAATGTGTTACTTAACATATGCAACCCAAATAACTGCACCTACAACTTATCCATATTAATTTTCGCAGTAAAGAATCCTCGCATTCATCTAGGTCGTTAAATTTTAATAGATATGCGCATTATTCAAACAATCGAACGTGTCTATTGTGCAGCGAATCGCAAATGCGCTTCGACATTCGCGTTGATTCATTACGGACAAATTGAGCGAGTCCGATCGAAGGTCGTTACGCGTCCCGCGACTCGCATTTTCTTTCTTGTTCCGTTTCCCTTGTTCTTAATTCCACCGTACTTAATTCCGTTCGCATAAATTTATTTATTAAAAGTACAGGTGATTAGCCATCCGTTCTCCTTTGGATTTCAATCAATCAATAAATTTGCCGCATCTTAGACGCTTTTGTATTCATTATTATTATCGACTCATCTCGAGCAAGGCAATGATGTAAATCATGATAATACGTAAAACGTTTTGCTATGCGATAGCCTTTGAAACTTTCAACGAGCGTACAAACATTCACGATAGCCTCAATTCATTAATGAATGATTAATATAGGCAATGAGAGGTTTATTTACGCAGTGAAAATATTAAAAATGAAATAAAATATGTTTTGGTTTGTAAATTGTCAAGTTGGTTGCCTATATTACTAGGGAATATCACATTTTTGTATAAAAAATAAAAATATAACTAAACATAATAAATTAACCTTCATAAGTTTAAATTAACACAAAATGTAAATGTTTGTGTAGAGCAATAGCAACATCAATGTCAATAAATACAATATTTGATTCGATAGAAAGAAATAAACTAAACTGTATTTTTGGTTGCCTATAATTAATAAATAGTGGAATTACTTTTCTTTGTGATTTTACTTAAAAACACGCGAAATTCAATGATTCTGTCTGAGAAAATTGAATATTTTGTTAAATCCTTATAAAAATGTGTGTAAAATAAATTCTAATAGTTGTTAATAAACAGATTGCGTATATTTATCCAATACAAACAAAAATTTAACTGATTTTCATGAGCAAAATTCAAAAAACACTTTTCTGTCTAAAAAACCAACAAAACAAAAATATCAACACTTAATCCTAGAAAAACCATAGTTTCATGCGTAAAACCCAACATATCTCTGCATAATCTGCATAAAATATATCAATATTAATTATTTATTTACTGCGTGTTTGTCCGTGTATCGTGTGACGATGCGTCGATCATCGTGTGCAAAACTGAGCGCATTGCGCCGGCGTGGAGCGCTCGAAACGATTCCAATTCATTTCGGACAATCGCGACAATCAAACCGAATCACGACCCGCGCGCGCACTGTCTGCACCGCGGCGGCGACGCATCCAGTGCGCGTCTTAACTTAAGTCAAGTTGTGGTGATTAACAGCGAAATTGTGCGCGTACAATTAAAACGCGCTCCGTGTAACATGATGAGCATGTCGTTGACACGCGACCGACGATCGTAAACAAACCGTGCCTACATTGATCATAGTGGGGAAGGAAGATGGAAATTGAAAATCGACAAATTCCACTAATCACTGTGAGTAATCTAATCAAGCGTGGTGTTAAAATGGGAAATTCGTCGATCATCGCCGGCTGCTATCCGCGCGCGCGTGTCGAATTAAAATGTGTAAGAATGCTAAACCGGTTTTTTACATTCAGGGAATTCAACGAATTGAACGAATTGAGAGTGGAGTTGATTTGAATTTGAATTCTGGATGTTATTATTTATTGGTATTTAAATGATTACGCGTTATTACATATCGTTAATGTGATATAGATTGTTGTTTATGGATTTTCCAACTGCCGGACGTAATATCCCACAAATCTGTGATTTCTTAAGTGCTTTTTTTCATTCGAACATGTTTACATAAACGTTTTGTTTTGTTGTGTGATTTCCAAATTAGACACAGTTATAAATTGCGTGGAGAGCAAGGAATAAACCAGTTTTCGGACGCCTGCCGGTAGTGCAGTGATGTAATCTGTTCCTCTCGAACGACAACAAATAAAAAATAACTACTCAATGTAAACAAGTTGATAATTCATTTGAAATTCTTCGAAAAGTAACCGAATTCAATTAAAAATAAAAACTTGTTGACTTGAATTGATATTTTTAATGTTGTGTATATTAATTTAAGCAGTGGATTAAAATTTCAAGTTAAGCAAGTTTTAATTATTTTTTAAATAAAAACTAATATGTAAAATTTGTTTTTAATAGGAAATGGGTTCGATTCCGCAGTTATCCGTTCTCAAAGGACCTTCGCGACCTTTAAAACCCAACTTTTTGCATCGAATCTTCGAAGAAAATCTACAAAAGTATCATGAAAAAATCGCATTGCAAATGGAAGGTAAGCAACCACTTCAATGCCCCTTATATAGTACTTGTTTTAACCCGCGCGAATATCTAAAATAATGAAGTTGCTTCCGTACGCGTCTGTAGTCACAGAAGAAGTAACAATGAAGTAGAATGGCGGGAAGTTTAAAATGGCTGAAAGTATAGTCTATGGAAGTATAGGGTACAGTCTCCATAGTGTAGTCAATTGGATTTGATGTTGACGTAGCTGTCGGTAATACAGTGTGATAATACAGTGTGATGGTACTATAGTACTTAGGTTTGAGCTTCATTGCTGGAATGCTAGATGGCGTTAAAGTAGTCAATTAGCCAGATGCAGAGGTATTATTGGCTAAACAATTTCTTTATTTTATTAAAAAAATAATTTTTTTATTAAATAAAAAGTAGCCTATAACCATTCGGGGACCACTAAGAATATGTGTACAAATTTTCATGATGATCGGTTGCGTAGTTTTTGCGTGAAAGTGTAACAAACATCAGGACTTTCGCATTTATAATATTAGCAGGGATACTTGGTTGCATAATCTTTGAATTTATTTATTCTTTTACACGTTTTTATTTTTATTTTGATGTTTGAATGTCATTCGCAACTTTTTTACAATTGTGCATTGTGAAAAAGTGTGCTCACACATTTTATGCATTCACAACGCTAGTTTTTACCAATGCCGGCGTTGTTTTTTTGTTTGCACAAAGCAAATGATGTGTGCCGAAGATAAACGGCTAATTTATACGCGACACGTGCTGCAGCAGCAGCCGCGAAACGTCCATAAACGAGCGCTCGGTCTACAGAGAATCAATTGCTTCCTAATCGATTTTAATTGATCTCAAATGCAGCCGTGCACTTGCAAGGCTTTCATGGTGTTAATAAATGCATCATCTAAAAAAAAAATCTATCATTGTTTATCAATAAGCACGTATAGTAAACGATAGGCAACCAAATATACAATTTTTTGTTTTCTTTTCAATAGATCCTGATGGAAAACTCCGACAACATTCTTATCAATCCCTCAACGAAAAAACTAATCAACTTGCACGCGTAATTCTCAAAACAATTCGAGAGAAACAATTACCAAGAAACAACGATGGCGATTATATAATTGCGGTATGCATGAAACCCTCTGATGAACTGGTGGCCATCTTGTTGGCCATCTGGAAAGCAGGCTGTGCGTATTTACCCATCGATCCCACTTTTCCCGCCAACCGAGTGGAGCACATTTTGCGCGAGTCTAAACCAGTGGCTGTTATCTACAGCCCTGATAATAATGTTCAACCGCAACAACAAAAACAGCCGCAGCACAATCAGCTATTCGATGAATTGTCGCATAAACTAAGCGTGGCGAGTATGCAAAAAGCTGCCGAACGCGAAAGCAAGGATAATTTAAAGGACGATGAATGCGTCAAACACTTGAAAGACGATCTTGCTATCGTGTTGTATACTTCGGGGAGTACCGGCGTGCCTAAAGGTAATATAATATTTAATATCCCACAAAAACATAAAATTTATTTTATTTAAAAAAAATGAAAGCAAAAAATTATTTATTGATTTAAGCTTCGTATCTTTTCGGAACGACCTAATATGAATACGTAGCAATGATAATAATCGACAATTTATGTGGTGCTTTCCGCAGGGGTGCGTCTCCCGCACCGCGTGCTCTTGAACCGTCTGCAATGGCAATTCAAGACCTTTCCGTACGCGCCGAGCGAATGCGTGGGCGTCTTCAAAACGGCACTAACGTTCGTCGACAGCGTCAGCGAAATTTGGGGCCCGCTGCTTAACGGGCTGACCGTGCTTGTTGTGCCCAAGTGCGTCACCACCGATCCGGAGCGGCTCATCGCCATTTTGGATAAGTACAAAGTAAGTAAACTCAGCACTAAATACAAAACACTAAATGTAATGTTGGTTGCATACATAAAAATGTATTTCTTTACAGATTGAAAGATTAGTATTGGTTCCATCATTATTGAGATCAATGTTGATGTTTTTGGAGTTAAAAAACAATAAGAATCAATTAAACAACTTGAAAATTTGGGTTTGTTCCGGAGAAACTTTGGTGGTTTCCCTGGCGCAGGAGTTTTTTGATTATTTTACAAATGGCGATCATATCCTGTGTAATTTTTACGGAAGTACAGAAATTATGGGTGATGTTACCTATCACGTGATCAGTAATAAGGATCAACTGCAGTATGCTAGCAAAGTACCCATTGGTAAACATTTTGTACCCAAAAAGCAAACATAACCTAATTTTTTTCTTTTATTATTATTATTATTATTAGGTGCACCTGTAGATAACACAATGCTCTACCTCCTGGACAAAGACTACCGCCCAGTAAAAGCCGGTGAAGTGGGTGAGCTCTTTGTCGCTGGTCTCAACCTCGCTGCAGGATACGTCAACAATCGTGACCCGGAGAAATTCATTAGTAACCCGCTTGCAATCGATCCCACATTCTCAAAACTATTCCGAACTGGAGATTTCGCAAGTGTTGAAAAAGGCTACCTTCAATACGAAGGCCGTACTGATTCGCAAGTGAAAATCCGTGGACATCGCGTTGATCTTTCCGAAGTAGACAAAGCAGTAAATTCACTTCAAGAGGTAGAAAAGGGTGTAGTGTTGTGTTACCAACCCGGAGAAATAAACCAAGCATTACTCGCGTTTGTTACCACTACAAGTCGTATTACAGAGAATGAAATCGAAGGATTCCTGCGAGAGAAGTTGTCTAACTATATGGTACCGCAGGTTATTTTGATTGAGAGTATTCCTCTGTTGGTTAATGGTAAAATTGACAGACAGGCTCTGTTGAAAATGTACGAATGCACCAATAACAACGATGATAGTCTGTTCCAAGCCGAAATTGATTATAATGGCGTACCACAGAAGAAAATGGAGGCTGCTAAAGTCTTGTTTGAGACAGTGGCGCAGGTATTGAATCGTGGTGCAAGGGCAGCCATTAATGTCAACGCGAATTTCTATGAAATTGGTGGCAATTCATTGAACTCTATCTTTACCATTTCCAACTTGAAGGAGAAGGGTTACCATGTGTCTATTGGTGATTTCATCGCGGCTATTGATTTAGGAGAGGTTTTGGAACGTATGGTGAAGAACGATGATGAAAACCAAGTCGAAATTAAAATTCAACCCAAAATTTACCGGACTGAGATGTTGGGAGATAAGCACAAGGAAGATACTATTAGGTAACTAATATAACCTCACTTAATATTTTTATTTTATAAATTCTAACCTTATTTTTATTCCCCTTAGAATTTTGACAGCTAGTTTCTTTGAGAAAGCCGATCTTGAACGTTGGATTATTTCTGAAATCGCTGATACGGACTACGCTGAGATTCTAAATGTAATCTGGACCGATTTGGTGGCGAAAGCGCTTTCATTCGCGACGATTTCCGCTGATACCGGAAAATGTATTGCCGTGGCACTGAATTTTGATGCGCATGATGAACCAGCCGTTGAGATAACCTCAAAATTAACAATTGTTTTTGAGTTTTTGGAGTTTTTGGAAGGTCCAATCAGGGACAACCAACTGCCTAACCAAGTCGGTGACGTTTTGCATTCGTTCATGATGGGAACCGATCCGGGATTATCTGCTAAGGAAAATGTTGCAGTTATTCAATATATGGAAGATGAGGTGTTGAAACTTGCTCAAAAAAGACGATTCAAGGGAATCATGACTACTAATACAAGTCCTCTTACTCAGGTAATAAATATTCCACAATGGTTTCCTTTACTATGTGTGTTTGGTTGCCTAAATATAATTTTTTTCTTGTAGCAATTGGGATCAAGTGTTTTCGGATACAAAACACTCTTGGACTATCAAGTCAACGAATATGTGGCTCCTGATAATACGAAACCATTTGGTTTGGCTCCAGCATCACAACGCGCTATTGTACATTGGAAAGAATTGTAAATTATTCACCTGCAGCCTAAATTTAATTTAATTGCTCATTTAGATTACGTCTACGTATTACTTAGGTTAACTAAATTATTTAATGTATTACACGTTGCCTACAACGAGTTAATTTGCATCGCATCAACGTCGATTTATTTTTGAAGATTTGTTTGTCTATGACTATGATTATAATAAATAGTAGCTATAAATCTATTTATATTTACAGCTTTCAATATATTTTTGTGTATAACTTGCGTTAAGTGATAATATTGTAATATTAACTTGTATATTTAGGTTATGTTACCGTTATTATAAATATTTCATATTTATTAAATGAATGTCTATGTATTAAAGTAAATTTTACTTTATTTTCCCTTTTTTGATCCCTGAACTTTCAGTTAAAATTTAATTTATCTTTGCTTTCTTTGTTTTTAATAAAATTTTCGTGTGTAAGCGTAACAAATAAACATTAAGTGTTTTGATGCATTTGTATGATAACAATAACATATGATACCACCATATTACTAAGTGTATGAATAAAAGCATGATTAATAAGAAAAAATCCCATTGCGGAAAATTGTGGACAGCGATCTCTCGCTTGTTTCGATAAAAATCTCAACTTGTCACCCATTTCATACTCGCTATTTTTGTTAATGTATTTCAACATTAAATTATTTACTATACTTTGCGTTTGTTTCCCGGTTTGTTGAAACCTCTCACAAATATGTGATGTCAATAAGCTTTGCACCTAAAATCAAACATAACCTCACCTATACACTATCACAAAATAAACAATCCTAACCTATTAAACATACCTGGACATTTAACGTGATCAATATTAAAAAGAAGTCCCCGCTGTTATTTATCATAGTTTTGCCAAAGAAATCATTCAAATACAAATCCAACGCAACCAAAACTTGATATGCTTCGTAAAGTTTCACCAATAGAATTTGCCGCCCAAATAAATCATTATAAATATCCACCCAGTTCACTATCATATTGTGTTGCATACATAACTGGTTCAAGAGCTTTGAATTAATATTATTTTTACTATGTGATATTTCAAGTTCTTTCAATGAATGATTAACTTCCATTAGATGGTCCCTCATTACACAACACATTAAATTCCGCCACATAATTCCTGCTTGCATATAATAAAACGTCATTAGTTCAAAAAGACTCAGCAAGGTGTATGTTATAGTCACTTCCATTTTGAAATAAGAACTCATTGTAAATAAACTGCCCAGGAAGATAAAATGCCATGCAATCGACGCACATTTGACGTAATTCCATTTATATTTCAATGTTGTATCAAACAGAAAGCATTTATTGCTTAATTTGGGTTGATTTTCATTAGAAGCAGTTATGGTTAGTTTATCCAGATAGTAAAATAACTTATTAAGTTTTGCTATGTTTTTATATGTGTTTAAAGTGAGGTGATCAGCCAATATCAATATTATAATCAATTCCCCAATTAATAAAAATGGTGTTGTGGGTTCTTCAATAGGCACTTCCGCGAATTGTCGACATATGCTCCAAATAGATAGTATTACTATCAAAATGGCGAACTTAACTGGATTTGTATTGAAAGTTGCCGTTTTGTCATTGTAACAAGGAAATATCAACATGGACGACAGCCATTTCTTTAGATATGTCACACTTGCTGCGGTATTCATTTTTTATGTTTTGTCTTCACCATCATCTGCCACAACACTGTTTGTTAGCAGTAGAAATGAATGATAATGCGCATCGTTAGAATTCTAATGGGTGTGTTGTTTAGTGAACAAACAAAATTAGTATAATTAAATGAGGCTAAATTACAATTTAAACAATATACGCGTTAATGTCGAAGATGTTGATCATTAATTCAATGAATTTTAATTGCTTCTACTTATATTATCTAATTTTGTGCGTTGGTATTGTTTATTAAGCAATTGTTTTAGTATATAATACACCCCAGAATGTGTATAGTTTGACCAGTACCATTTTTTTCACGTTTCACGTATAGAAAGTTGCATAATCACGGCGTGATGAAATTGCATTCTCCATTAATGCAATTACATAAGAATTATACAGGAATCATCACTACTCTATTGTTCACTGGCTATTTACTTACCCATTCATGTGATTTGCAATCTAGTTCTCCATGCCTACAATAATAAAACATGCATGTTTAGGCATATCCGATGCTTTTATTCTGTTCGTTTTTTTTCCATCATTTAGGCAAAAATACAGGAATACATAAGAATCGTATTATTTCCCCTTCATGCGTCTGTTGCAGTTGTTATTATGATTCAAAGTTGTAAACATTAACCAGATTTAAAAGTGTGGGCCTAAATTTTTACATTTTTTACGGTATACCGGGTGTGGCCGAAAACTATGACTCATTCTGGACTCGTTATTTTAGCGATATACAAATACATATGTCGAATTACTATTGAGAAGAGATTATTCATACAATATTGATTATTACACACATAAAATAAGAAATAAGAGATACAACATATAGTTACTTTTTTTTGCTTCACATGATTTTCTTTTCTTGTTTTGAATAAATAGAAGTAATGCGTAAATATACCCAACCAGGAATAACCGGAAAAGTTTCTTTTCTTGCTTCATTATTTGAATATTTGTATTTTTATTGTGAATTAAGTGCCGAGCTAAGATGGCAAGGCGGCCATCTTGTTTCTGAAACCGCCTTGCCAGTTTTGAAGCTAATCTTTCACCAAAAAATCAATTTTCCCTCCTCGTACGAGGGAAAACAATCGAATGTGTACTATGAATACATCTTTATTTGTGTTTGCTTGCAAGTTTATTCATTTTTAATCTTTAAGAAAGTCTAATTGAAACTTTTGAGTTCTGTTTTGCTTGCAAAGTCATTTTCACTACGTCGAGAGGCGATTAAATATAGAATGCAACGATTGAATTGTTTTCCATTTTTTTTAGTTTTTCATCAAGTTCGCTTTAAATCAGTTTTAAGATTCAGGTGCAACAACCATTTTGGTATCATAAATTTCAGTTTCGTCATGAAACAAACAAGATTCAAGTTGAAGATCTTTTGTTCCAAAGTTAGGTTATTAAATAGTTTCTGTTGTTGTTAGTTATTTGTTTTCTATATATGTATAGGTATTTGTCGAATTTCGTGTGTTTGCTGTTTCTGCTGGCTGTATGTATTCCTTGGCGCCTTGCGGTGCCCGCATTTGCAGTTTGTTCTTTCGTCGTCGTTCGAGCGGGGCCTCCGTCCATTTTGTAGGTGATGCACGTCGTTTAAAAAGCAATGCTCGGTCCAACGCCGGACATCGTCGCCGCCATCACCCAACACCGGAGGCCCACGCAGTGTGTCAACCGATGTATATAAATATCATAAATATAAATCACAGCAGCGACTGACGTGATAGCTCAGTCGTTATTTTTTTTTTATATAATTATTAACACTCGTAACAAATATAGAAAAATATACATATTCGCTTTGCTCTCCAACACCACACGTCTGCATAGTTGTTATCAGATCAGATCGAATAATAATTTTCATTTGTGTCTCGTGAATGTATGGATGCCGTCGCCGGAGAGCAGCCGGAGCCACAAACACGTAGTAGTAAAATATTGGTAACAGTCGTTTTGGTCATAAATCGCACTTGGTTTTAGTCTCGCCTGCGCGTCGAGAAAGCAGCACCATCTTCATATCGTCTAACCATTAATCAACAATCGTATTGTTATCATTTATCATCATCACGTAATAATCGAGCAATAAACTTAAAACGTAAAGTAAACTCACGGCGCACGCGTCGTCCAAAAGTCAAATTAAAGCCAATGATAATACAAGATTAGTCAAAATTCAAGAAATTATTTTAGAACGAAAGAATTATTAAAACTTAAAAACAATGAGGGGGCAGGCGGAGGGGTACTGTGGGTCACAAAGCGGCGTGGCATGGGCGTGTACTCATCAGACGGCCGGGCCGTCGCCCTGCCCATGATGTTCGGTCTTCACTTCTTCACACGCAGCGGCAAGCGATTCACTGCGGGATGGGAGGATAACACACGCAAAGTTAATTACATTACTGCGCAGCCAATAGGCGTAACTCTGCGATGTGAGCGCACTCTAAGTTGTTGAAGAGATTGTGTGTGGCTTACCCGTCGTCGGCGGCCTTGTTCGTCTTGCCGCCGCTCCGCGCGTTGGCCGCTCGCTGCCTATTCGCCGCCCGTTTCTTACCGCTGGACTGCGCATGGGACATAAAACACGAATTATATAAATACTATGTACAAACCACTCTCCCAGTTGATTTTTGGGAGTGGATGAGTGTTGTCGAGTAGAGTTGAGTGGTGATGGTGGAGGGTGGTGGTTGGTGTGATGAGAAATCATTGAAACCATACAGTGTTCTTCTTGTGCCCAACCGGGTAAGTGGGTGGGCCCGCCTTGCGTGGGCGGTATGAGTTGGAACTGCCGCCAGTTACGCCGCCACTGCCTCCGCCGCGCGGTTGACTGTGATTGTACTGTTGGTGCTGGTGGTGTTGCGCGCCCTGTTGCTGCTGTTGTTGGTGGTAGTTGCCTTGCGGTGCGCTGCGGCCATTGCGGTTATTCTGATAACCGCCGTTATTACCATTGCCGCCACCGCCGCCCAGATGCATTTGCTGGGGATATTGCTGGCGGGAGTTTTGATAACCGTAGTTTGCGCCCCAGGATCCTACAACTACGCCGGCAATTTGTAGCTGGCCGCCGCGTGATTGTATTGGGCGATGGCGGTGGCTGCCTGAGCCACGTGTTGATGGCAGTGCCATGGCTGGGAGACAGTTTGGTGGTGGCATTCCACGAATATGACCTAAATAATATAAATCATTACGGTTTTTGTTTGAGATTATAGAAGAATTGAGATTGTAAACCTGTAAAATGTTGTAATGGGACTTTGGCAAACTTAGGATCCAGGCCTTCCAGTATAGCCTTACGCATGCGCTCAACTTTAACCACCCTGTCAATGTGATTCTCGCAGAGATCCAGCAGAGTTTTCGCCTGAGTAGCTCGAGTTAATGTATGATGGAATAATTTCCCATCGAAATACAACCATGGGCAGCACATGAGCCATGGTAATGGTGCACCGCACGCATCATTGGCCAGTAGGGTCATTTCCACGCCTTGCATAAACACAGCTGCCAATTGCACACCGCGACTAGTCACCACATTCAACTGCAATTTAATCAAATCAATCATTTAATCATAACTTTTTATTATTTATTCACTCACCGTTAATTCTTGTAAATACTGAGTGTTCATGAGATCAGGAATGAAAGCCTGTGCCAAGAAGACATCCAACTCTGCCCGACGCAAAATCGCCTTCTCCAGAGACATGATATACCGCAGCACACACGCCATAACAAGCATATGCTGCGGCACGTACGCGGTGTTCAAAATCAGCGGAGTATCCGCACTCAAACACGATAATAACGCACGCATGCGCCGTCTTTTATCATCCACAGCCGATCCAAACCAAAGACGATGCAACGTCGGCACAGCCCACGGTAGTGGCACTGCTTTTACCTCCTCAGCGTGTTGATACGGATTACTGCGGCTATACGCCCATTCTTTAACAACCACATCTGGAGGCGGTGCATTATCAGGCACCTCCTTCGCCTCTTTTTTCTTTGCATGCACATAGCGATGATGATGCAAATTAAAAAGTACTGCGTAAACACGCTGTCGTAACGGTTGATAAATCTCATGCACCGGTGGAAACTCACGATTTGCTTCGTCTTCCATCACACACGGCAGTCGTACCTCTTTGGTGGTCAACACATGCAACAACCAAGGAGTCATGAGACCTTTCTGATGACGAGAAGTCGCCGTGCGCAGCACTTCAGATGATACATTAACATTGATCACCGACTGGCTATTTTGTACGGGAGCGCAGTTAGAGGAAGCAGGTGTGATCGGAATGAGTGGAGGTGCTTCGGGACTGGCTGGTTCAGCCAGGGGCGAATCCTGCGCGGAGCTGTTCGTGGGCGAACTGACTAGACCGGTGCCACCGTTCGAGTGGCCATTAAACCTGGAGGTGTCCGAAGTGGGCGGTGAATCTTCACAGGCGACTACTTCTGCTTGATCAGCGCTGATGATATCCGACGCAGACGCGAGTATCTGATTCACTGTCGCGAGGTTGTAATTCTTAAGCGACTCTTGTTCCTGTTCTGTAGTCTCCGAAGCGAAACCAGAGGTGTCCAACTCCACTGTTTCGACAACCTCCTCCTTGATTGTCACATTATTGGTCGGTGTTTCTACCATTGTCTCCACAACCTCGCTGATCTTTTCCACCTTTGGTGGCGTAGTGGACTTTAAACTCTTACCGCGATAATTTGTTGAATGCGAATTGTTGTTCTTCCCATTAAGGAAGCCCAGGCGCTTACCGTTCAAATAATACGAGACGGAATGTTTAAAAGTGTCGCCGCGTTGTGAATTCTCGCCGAAAACGGCGACCGCAAGTGCGTCCATGTCCTGGACGCTTGGCAGAGTGCGGACGTACTCGGCAAGCAACTTAATAGCGGTCTCACCTTGCATCTTTTCGTCATCCTTACCGAATTTACCGAGGACGCGTTTATGAATATCTTGCAGCTCGGCTTCCGGCATGAGAAAGTTACCGAGCAAGGCGGCGAGTATGCACAATTGGTCGGTTTGTAGTTGGAGATGCTTAGCCATCACAGAGACCATGTACTCCTTCGTTTCCAGCGAGCCTTTGTAGGTGAGCTTCAGGTGCTCTGAGGAGAAGTAGCGCGAAGGATCAAGGACTGCGTACTCGGCGTCGTCGGCCAAGAGGCCATGGAAGTCAAACTCCTGGCAGTACGCCATCACTTCCTGGTGATGATCCACAGTCGTGCACATCTAAAACAACATTTTAAAATCATAGTTATTAAATAAAATTATTTGCTACATACAACAGTGATTCCTAAATGTCGCAGGGCCATGCGTAGAGCAGTTCGTAGACAAATCGGCGCAGTCCACCAGATCTTCGGTGGCGGTGTGGCTTTTGTTGAAATATGCTTCAGGACCATTCCGACACGTTGTCTGACTGTAGCCTGTTCGGCGATCCATTCGTCCATGCGAGAATTCTCCACACTTCCATTGAAAACAGCAGTGAACTCAATGTTGCCATGTTCAATTGCTTCAGTCAACAGGCTGAGGAATTGATACATTCTGTTCCATTGCCCACCACAAGCCCAATCTTTAAAATATTAATTTTTCTTTATTTAAAGCACTTACAGGCTAAATTCTACAATCAAATTTATGTAAAATTTCATTTTATGTCTTCTCACCTGAATAATATCCACCATACAAACGATCCAAGCAATTCTCAGCATCAATCACCAATCGTAATTTATTCCCACCCATTGGCTGTCGCATTTTCCTGTTAGTGGGTCGCTGATGCATGATATTCCTCGCGATTTTCAGCAGATCCACTGACACTGCACCACCTTCCAAGGCAGGGCTCTCAAGGAAAGCCTGAAGGTCCTGCAGTCCCATGTTTGCGTCTCGCTTCCGCACTTTATTTGTACAATCAATATCTTAATCACTGCTTGAAGAAATCATCTGCAATATAAATAAAAATATAGCAATCATTGCCAGTTGTAGAGCAATAAAAGGATGGCAGCCAATTAACTCCTCGCGAAGGGGACACACACGAAATAAAATAGTTCAATATGATTAACGCTGATTACAAATTGATTTACCCGCAGTTATACTGTGCGATGCATGAATAAACAAAAATTAATCTCACTTGACAGCACAGTTTAATCCTGTTCCATTAAAAGATGAAATTTAAAGGCGGTGCGTGGGATTGTGTTTAATATTTTTCGATTTGTCGTGTGTATTGCAATTTCCATGCATATTTTGTTTTCGCACTGTGTCGGCAAATGGCGGCCTGACTCAACCGCACAGCGATAGATCGCGAACGGATTTTCGCACACGGCGACAATTGCACGCAGTGTCAACGCACTTACCGCATAGTGCCGGGTCTCGCCGACATCGCCAAGTTGATAATATCCTCGTAGGCCGTGCGGGCTTCCTTCTAGGCCCGTGCGTGTCGATTGCCGGCAGCGCGACGCAGCAATGGCATAATAAACACTCTCGCATACAGCGCAAGATTCGTCCGCAAACAAATTATCACAGTCGCAGGTGAATATCTCGCGCGGAGGCACTATCAGTCGAAGGCAGGAGCTGGAGAGAAGCGCATTGTATATCGTCGGCGGCGGCAGCGGCGCGAACGAGCGGTCGACGGAGTTGCTCCGCACGGACGCGTGAGCCGAATGTTTTCGCCGGAAGTGGAAAGTGGAAAGATCAGCGCTGCGCAAGACGCCAAGGAGGGGAAAAGCATGACAGCCGGAAACAAGATTTAAATTATTTGTTATAAATTTATAAATACTATTGATATAAAATGTTAAACAATTTTAAAATATATTCAAGTTAATTATAAACTTAAACTTTTTTGATTTAGGTTACAAAATATGGATTTTAAACTAAAAATACATAAAAACTTCAAGAAAACAGAATGGTTTTGTGTAGAGGGCGCTGCAAATCGTCAACTGGCGATTCAACACGAAGTTGCGTGATGCTTGTTTAAATTTATTCGATTGTTTATGTATTGTTATACGTATCTAACTCACATTAATTTAATTGTTGTTTTAATTTTTATAATATAGAGCTTTTTATAATAATTTATTCAATCAAACATAATTAAAATACTTTCATAATAGTTTTATTTGGCCTATTTTGTAAGATTAAAATAGATTCGATTCTTTTTATTATATTTTATTTTAAGCACTCGTGGGACGCCTACACACGCTTACAATAACACTCTTCTCTTCAGCACACAAGTTTCAAATAAATCTATTGATTTTTCTTAATATTTCTTGTGAAAAACACTAAATAATATTTAACAAATCTTACTTTTGTGCATATTCCTAGTTTAGTGCATGTTAAGTTGCCTATGCTGTGATATATTATAAATGCACCTTACTCATTGTGTGCATTTGTTTCATACAAACTCTTCCATTTTTAATTTTAGTTATACTTCGGCGACGACAAGTAATTATAGTGCCCGGACTGCAATTACGAGTGCAACGACTGGAACTCACTGTCTTCGGTCGTCCTAACAACACTTAATCCAAGAATACAAACATTTTCATGAAAGTTAACACATTGTAATTTGCGAAACTAAAAGAAGTGAAAATAAAAACGGTATCCAGGGGTTGTTACTGTGAGGGCGCCACTGTAGCCCAACGAAACAAAGTAAAGCGAGTACAACTCAACAAAACTGCCACAAGAGAAACGAAGATACCCGATGTGAACAGAAGAGAAACGAAGAGAAAACTGGCATTGCAGTTCGCTTACTCCGCTTGCTTGCTCAGTTAGTGCCCGACTGCGCTGTTTGCAGGTTGTTCTACTCCTACGAATCGACGATATCACCTCTCGGTGGACTGCTAGCTGCTGTTAAACGGTAATCATAACAAAAACCCACGCACAATACAAACGCGCTGCGACGACGAGTCACAATACCAACAATTGCTCCCAGTGCCCCGGCAAAGGAGCATATTGTCCGAGTTTTATTTAATATCGTGTGTATGTTGTTTAATTTCGTAGGAATTGGTGCAACAGCGTACGGCGGCGTTCGGTCTTAATTGATTTTGTGCGGAGCGCACCGAGCACACCGAATTTCAGCGTGCGTCGAACGTGAAGAGATTCGAGAAGCTTTCGTGGAGGAGATCCGACCCGAGCAGCAAAATGGTGTCCGGCGGGATGAACTGCGTCAAATACCTGCTCTTCTGCTTCAATTTATTATTCGCGGTGAGTGCAAACGCATGCATTACCGTTATTATTACACCTGGGGGGATTTTACAATGGGAAACATAACTTTGACTTTAACAATACATAAACAAAACAAATGCACATCATGACACATTTTTACATTTTCTACAATATTTCTTGGTAAACACATTTTTTTGTCACCAAGTGATAACAAACAAGTGTTGTAGTTATTTTCGGACACACTGATTCACCTGGCGTTTTATTTGTTTTTCTTCTTATCTCATTTTCTTGAATGTACAGACAAACAAGAAAACAAGCGATTATCTTGACTTCATCAGAGTCTATACAGTTAATGATAAAGTGTTATTAATAAACACTGCTTGGTCTTTCAGTGCAAATGCAATATTTTAAATAAAACGCAATAAACCAGCAAATTTTGATGTCTAGACATTAAAGTTCACTTGTAATCATGCGCAGATGTCCAATTTTGTTTTGTTTTTAAAAATAAACAAACAATTCCCAGCGTAGCAATATCACACAACTACACAGTGGAAATTAAACCGACTGGTCTTTGTCTTGCCAATTAGTACACTCATTGTTGTAGTCGGATGATATTGATTTCTAAAACTTGATATATTGGCAATAAAATTGCATATAATGTGCATGGCGGCGATATGGTGTTATTGGTCGTTAGGTTTATTTATTTTAAAAATCGATTAATGCCGCGACGCAGTTCGTAGTTTATGTCGGTATACATCCTGGGCTTCCTGGGGTAGTTTCGAGGGCTATGTTACCGGAACAAGTTATTATGATTCAAGGTGACATCCTGTGAGCGGAACGCTTGTCTGATTCAATAAATTGTAATGTTGTTTACGTAAATGTAGGAGTTTTTAAGCAAACAGTACTGATTCACCTGTAGAATAATAATATACATCAATTTATCATCATTTGGCAAAAACACATCCGGATGTGGTACTGTACAAGGACAATGCATTAAAAATTAAATAACGAAATAAGCAAATTCATGTTTGTATTGAAAAAATTTAAGTTATTGACATTTGACAGTTGACACATGTCAAACTCTAACCAAAAAATTTAATTCAGGGTTAATTCATCAGCTGTTATAGATGGCGCTGTAAACCTTTTTAAAGTAGGCCAGACTGGTTTATACGCTCGCAAAACAAATCCCTACGAGTACTAATATTATAAATGCGAAGGTCCTGATGTTTGTTACACTTTCACGCAAAAACTACTTAACCGATCATCATGAAAATTTGTACACATATTCTTAGTGGTCTCCGAATGGTTATAGGCTACTTTTTATTTAATTCAATAATTCCTCTGCATCTGGCTATTTGACTACTTTAACGCCATCTAGCATTCCAGCAATGAAGCTCAAACCTAAGTACTATAGTACCATCACACTGTATTATCACACTGTATTACCGACAGCTACGTCAACATCAAATCCAATTGACTACACTATGGAGACTGTACACTATACTTCCATAGACTATACTTTCAGCCATTTTAAACCTCCCGCCATTCTACTTCATTGTTACTTCTTCTGTGACCTCAGACGCGTACGGAAGCAACTTCATTATTTTAGATATTCGCGTTTATAGTGAACCAATAAAGAATATAGAATAATTTCCTAGAACAATGGCAGATTTAAAAACATAACCTTGCCCAAAAAGCAGAGACTATAATATAGATTAAATTCCGCAAAAATTTAAACAAATCGATTTGAATTTTGCCTTTATACTGAAAATTTTATTGCAAAAAATATATTACAAGGGTGGTAATCATCATTCCGTCCTTAATTATCCACACATCAGGCATATTTATCGATGTTAATAATGAATAATTAAGAAGTCGAAGACGTAACATGGATGCGAGTCCACTGGCTACCCACAATTATTAATTATGCATTGATTCACATCCACCAGCAACAGTTACGCTTGTCGGTTGCACTTTTGTCCTAATCACACGTACGTGTAGTACAAAAGTAGTACAAAAGAGCAAGGAAAAGAATACATCGTGTCTACGACAGGTGGGCAGTGGAAATGTGGGTCACGTTTGTGGGCTTTCGTGGTTTCCATGTTTGAATCGTGAAAATAGGCTGGAAAATCGGCCACGATTTAATATTAATATGTATTGATAGTAATTTCCGTTCGGAATATGTCGGTGGAGCTCTCGTGATTTTTATAACTCAATTTACAAGCAATGTGATGCAATGTGCTGCAATACACGCAGTAGTTAAGCAGTTAGTTCATGGCAATCAACATTGTTATCGCAAAATAACAGAGATTTTGCTATCGCTGCGTGAATAGCCAGTTAAATACAATGAATTCCTATATGAGGCTGAAAACTTGATGCAATTTTAATTTTATCGCGGGGGAACAATGAGTTATAGTTGAATTTTTACAAATAAGTACATATAAATTATGTTTTTACTAAAGTGTTATCGATTAACACATTTCTATTTGTATTTAATTAATTGAAATCCAAAAAATAAATTTTAATGTTAAATCAACGAAAAAATCATCGACGCATGCGCGAATTTTGGTGTGTCAATGCATTTGCTCAACGTTTATAGTGTTTATACTTCCATTAAGTTCCACTAGAGGGCCTAATTTCGAAAATATGTGAAATATGTCTTTTGTGTCACTAAAGTTGCTACGCTCTGATACAACTGATTCACTTACTAAATATTTCATCGTACGATATTAATAAACAAAAATTAGTTTTGCAAAGTTCCAAACATATTCTCATAATACACATAAGCTATAATTTGATAAATCACTTTAAAACTTTAAATCATGACCTTTTCAGTGAAATTTCTATAAAACTGTGATAAATTTGATTACAGATTTCTGGAATCGCCATCTTTACCGTGGGTTTAATCATCCACACCGCATACTATCACTACTCGGAATTCGTAGATCCTAGTTTCGCCTCCGCACCAATTGTGCTTATCATCGTGGGCGTTATCGTCTTCGTGGTGGCATTCTTCGGCTGTTGCGGCGCAGTCAAAGAGAACCACTGCATGATTATCACCGTGAGTAATAAATTCAACTCATTGAACATTTTATTTCATTTTTTTTAAATTTAAAATGTTTACAGTTTGACAAAACAATCTTAAACAAAGGTAGAATGTTTTCAAGTGCCGACATTTAACGTGTTTTATTGTTATTGTTGATTTTTGTGTATTAACACGTTAAAATTTACCTGTTTAATCAATAATTGTTAATAATATTATTTGGTTAAATGCAGTTTGCAGCACTTTTACTCATCATCTTCACCATCGAGCTGGCAGCCGGGCTTGCAGGTTACGCTCGCCGCTCCGACGTCGAGGAAATGCTCGAGAACCGCCTCAACAAGAGCATGCAAGAGTACTACAGCAAGCGCGACGTTGAGAAGTCATGGAACATCATGCAACACGAGGTAATACGACACCCACAAACAAATTAATCAATTAAATCTTCTAATTAACTGCGTCCTTTGTTTCTAGATGAAGTGCTGCGGGATGAATGGACCGTCCGACTGGCACAATATCACGCATAATAATACCTTGCCGTACACGTGCTGCCCGGACACGCAAAACGACGGCACGTGCACGATGAATACGCTCAACATGTACAAGACTTCTTGCTTGGAGCGCCTGCGCGAAACACTCATCAACTACGCGTCGATTATCGGTGCGGTTGGTTGCGGCGTTGCGCTTGTACAAATCGTCGGCGTTATCTTCTCTTGCTGCTTGGCACGCAGCATTCGGAAGGAATACGAAACGGTGTGAATCACCGATGAGATACTCGCGCAACTACTCTAATTTTTTATCCACACAATTTAATTTGACTGTTTTAAAGATTTCAAAGTTAAAATTTGTAGTTTTTAAGGTTATGTTTAAAGTTTGTTGCACTTTTTCTAATTGTTTATATTTCTAATCTAATTTATTTCGTGGCGTTTGAAGTTGAAGTTGATTATAAAGTGTAGCGCGCACTTAGAGTCCATTTAAATGTGATTTGTACTGATTTGCACGGATTTCACAAATTGGTTTGCGACTGATTTTTTTATTATGAAGTAAAAAAGCAAAATGCACTACGCACTGACGAATAGAAAGTGAACAAAAGCCAAACACTAACAAAATTGAGTCAATATATCAACAAGTCGATGAAAAAAGAATAATAATGTTTACATTAACAAACAAATGTTTCTGTAAACGGTTTGTATCGACTTGTGTGAACTGAAAAACATAAAAAAACACTGAAGCGACTTTTGTATACAATTTAACTGTTAGCGCAGAACTTTGCATTTAATATTCATTAGATATTTCGATTTTCAAGCAATACTAATTTACTCTTTAAGTTCTCAACTCGACGAAATACTTAGAAATGCAAATACAGGTAGTTACCTTCTTGTAGAATAAATAAAATGTCACCAAAATATAGGAAATACCAAATAGCGATGAGCAAAACCATAATATTAGCACGTGAAACATTGAAATATTACTAGCACTCAAAGAGTTATTCATGAATAATCGATTAATGTGTCATCTCAAATATAATCATATAACTTTAATAATAAGGCTAAGAAGACCACACCCCTACACAACACATTTACAGTGTGCTCATGTGGAAGTCAAGACCAAATTTTGAAGAATTTTTAGCGTAGCGTTAAGATTTAAAAGCGTAGAAGCCAACCATACTTAAGGAAACAACAAGTGGCACAAAATATCAGAAATATTGCGATTGAAACATGAGAATATGAAATAGATCCTTTTGGTGCTTATAAGATGCGAAAAATATATATCAATGTGTTATGATTTCATTACAGGAATGTAATCTTTGGAATCAAATTACATTTGAGTTATTGATGTTATATATTACTATAAATGTGTTTGAAATAAAAGAATAAAACCCTGTCTAATCGAAACATGGGTTATCCTTGAGGATATCGCATCACATGAAAGTATTGAGTTAATATGCGGTTGGTTTATGTTCATATAAGCATCTTTTTATTTGTTACACTTTTTAAAAATTATTCTTTACGATAGTTGGGTTTTGTATAGTTTCAATAGATCATTCTTCTTATAGGGTAATTATAAATATAAATATCATCACTTCAATCACGCAGCGGTAGTAATAGAGTAAATATAAATAAAATTTGCGTTCACTTACAAATTGTAGGAAATAATCATAAAATAACATCAAAGGCCGGTGTAATGGCTTTCTGTAGAGGGCGCTGGCGGCGCGCTACGTCGTGAAGCAAACAAACCACGTTTTTGGGGTCCTTTTGCTCCCTGTGAAGAGAAAATCACAAAAATTATAAAAATTTTAAACATTTATCACTTTTGACAAGTTGACGTTTACTGAATATTGTTTTGTGATTGTTTTGGTAACTTTTAAGGTTATTATTTTCTTTGTGATTTAATTGTGAACTTACTTAAAGAATGCCAAATGTTGTTCCAGCAAAAACCGACTATTGCACTGCGATAACTCCGGCCAGTGTCCCAATATTCGTCGAAGATAAGTCTGCAAGCGTTTTCTTCGGTCTTCCACCAAAGAAGAATCCTACAAACCAAAAAACAAATTTATTTCAAACCAAACTGTCACGTGAAACAAAATGGCGGAACACTCACCTTGTTACCTATACTTTTCTTCGGTGGAAAATCAAACCCACGCACAGCGGGATCCAACTTCTTCAAATCCGAATGCAACGCGTGGAACTGCGCATATCGCCGATAAATATTCCACTCATCAGCGCCAGCTCGCAGAAATATCTGATAAACATGATGTGCTTCTGACCCGCTGCCAGTCAAGAACGCACTGGGTATCCAGACGTTCACGCAACTGCCACCATCTTCGATGTCGTCCATTGGACCACGTAACTCCATCAATTCATTCTTCAACTTCTCAACTAAACTCTCCTTTTGACAGAGCGCTTGTTGCAGCACGACATTAAAATCCATCAACTCCGCATGCATTTCAGCAACTTGCACCAGTTTCCGCTCGAATAACTTCGCCTCGCTTTTATAATCAGGCGAAGATGGATCAGCGCCATCTTGTGAATCATTCAACGTTTTCACAGCATCCATGTAATTCTTTAATTGCTCTTTGAGATTATCATTCTCTTTGGTCAATAGAGCAACGCGTTCGTTTAACTTCGCGGTGGTCTCGAGATTCTTCGCTTCTACAACACCCAAGAGGGCGCTGACATCAGCAGGCACCTCAATCATTCCCTCACATTCTTGGTTATTGAAATTCACACTATGCTCAACACTGATTGGTGTAAGCTCGCCAATGTTTGGCTCTAGCGGAGTCAAAGTGCCTTCGAGTTTAGTCGGATACTTATCACGACTGCCACTGGTTTCAACGCTTAACTTACGCACCAAATGTGTAGGCGGAGCATGATCAGCCGTCCCACTGGAACTGCTGCTGGGCGTATCACTGTACGTACTGCGCATGTCTTCGTCCATTTCGGGTGCGAGTTGATTGAGGTTGGGTTTTATCACAGCAGGTTTCTCAATATCGTCGTCGTCGAATGATATTATTGTTGCAATCTTGCGCTTCTTTTTATCTTTGTTTAATTTATCTATGATTGGCGCCTCAATGATGGGTTCCACTTTTATTTTTTCACTTTTGTGTGATGATGAAGAGTTAAATTCAGGTTTGTCGATGCTTATTGCAAACAAAATCGACCCTAATCCTGAAAATTAACAAATTTAGTTACATATTCATTGATTTAGTTTGTTTAAAGGTACCTGCGGCCATGTTTGGCAGCAAATTATTGTTCTCGTCATCGCTGAGCAGTGCCCACGGCTCGTAATACGTCTGCAGGAGTTTCTTGTTCCCTAAAATGATATGAAAATATCGCTCTAGTGAGCGTTCATTGAGTGTTGAGCGAATCCACGCTTTGCCACGTCCCGTATCCGTCCAGATATGTTTCAGTGCATCATAACGCTCTTTATCATGATGTGTTAGATGCTTTTTTATAAAGGGCCAAAAGGCTAGAATAAAACAAGTTATTAGTATCATTTTTTGTTGTGTTAGCGTAGTTTTTTATGCTAGTTACATACATAAATGGTCGTTTGTTAATGATAATGAATTGGCAACAATCTCGACAATGTCAGCCACCTGCTTCACGCCACTAATTTGTTTCGCCGCGTTCTCGGCGGGTTTCACCTTGAGACCATGTAGGAAAACGGCCTCCAGGCTGTTGCATAAACACGCGACGCAGGTATCGAATTCGGTGGCTAGCTCAGTTTTGCCACCATAGCGTTTTTGGCACTCTTGGACGCTCTCAAGCAGACGATTTAATAACCTGCAATCAACATTTTCAAATTGAGTTTTAATATGAACGCAAAAAACGATATTAACTATTCATAGCCAAATGTTATTTACCAAATGTGTGCATAAATAGATGCGCAATTAATCTTTTATTAGATATTGCTCATTGACCAGACTAATTAATTAATAATAATATTATAAAATAAAACTTATTATTTCTTCACCTGTTGGAATTTTCTTGCTGTGAAGACATCAGTACATCTCGCGCACTAGTGCCTCAGTTCACTTCCGATAGTTGGCACTTATCTCAATTTGCAAATACGTCGTTTTGTGTTCGTCTTTTGTTTAGAATTAATACTTGTTTTTGTTGCAATTTTTATATCGTTCTATTGTGTTGCGGAGGCATTCTGCTGCAGGGGATACGATAACGAAATGTTGTAATGTCGTGAATTATCTGTGGCGGCGGATGTGCACGCTGCGTTTCTTTATTATCTCCGCGTGTAACGTGTTACCGCGATAATAATTGAACAAAAAATAATTACAAATGACAAACGCGCGAGCAGCTAGCAGCCAGGCAAAATCGAGTAGAGCATGTGATGTCAAATGGTAAATTTCATTGTTATAGAGGATGAAGGTAACAAGATAGTTATGGTTTTAAATGTTTGATAAGTTTTACGTTAGTTGTTACAGGGTTAATTTTAGTCTTTTCAAAAATATATTGTTTATGTGACTATTGCAATTCTTAAAACTAATAGAAGTTAATAGTTGTTTGTTTATCATAGTTTTAAAAAGTTTACTGTAGTATATTGCATTGCCCTGTACATGCAGTTTATATCTTGAATATAGGCAACCCAACATTCGCGTGTATACAATGGTTCTTTTGAAACATGAGTTTATTTTCTTAAATTTTAAACAAACCAAACTCAATTTTGTTTATTTATATTTAATGTTTTTTATACATTTGAATATAATATTATTGCAAAACTAATATATAAAGCATTTAAAACAATATAATTTGTTTCTGATACACGAAATATTTTAAAATATAGCTTTGATTACATTTTGTATACATTGACATGTATGACATATTTTTGTAAAGCTTAACCTGCTATGTGAACATTAATTTATTTAAAGTTTACCTACAATTAACGTATGCAAAATAATCTTCCATTAAAATATAAAATTTTATGATTGCACTAGTGATAAATGGTAAAAATTTTATGAATAACTTTATTTTTTCTTTTATTTTTAAACAAGTGCGCACATTTTGTGAGTACCTAGCCTTAGAACTAAGCAACCATATTGGATTTTCGAAAACATAGGTGGGAGGTGCGTAAATCGCGTAGATTCGTAAAACAACGTAAACCTATGAAAAAAGACAGCGAAAACACAACGAAGCTGCCGCCCCGCCGGCTCCGCCGCTTGCCGCCCCCACCACACAGCTTGATTAGTTTCGTGTACGCCGCATATGTATGCGTGCCGTGTTTTTATGCGGTTTTTATGCGTGTGGTGTCACTGACTCCGCCGCCTTGCGTTCGCGATTAATCACGTCGAATCACGTTCATACGAACGCCGCACAGCGCGCAGCGGTGCCTTCGGCTGGGTGATGTTTATTTATGCGCGTACGTCGCGCACATCGGGCGTGTGACTGTGTGCGCTGTGTGTAGGAATTGTCGCTGGCGCTGAGCGTGCAACGGTGTGACGACGAGAGCGATAAACAATGTCGCAGGCGGTGCTGGACGCTGCGGACGCTACCATGTCGAGACTGCTGCGGCTCGCACAGAAATTCAACTGTTTTTATTTATCCGGTGAGTTATTACAACGCATGCAACTCGCATCACATTTGCAGCTGATTGCTAATTGTATTGATTGTGCCGATATTATAATTGTGTCATTTTAGGGTTCACGAGTGGAGAATGCAAGCCATTCATTGTTGAAGGCTTCCAAGTTGGTCTGGTGCGGCCTGATGTGATGAAACAGCTACTGCGATATCCTGAGGTAATTTCCTAAGTAAACATTTTCGATATTTTATGATTCCATCAATGTTAATCAGCAAAATCTTCAGATAGTTGGGAATCTAAAGCAAATATACTGATAAGTTGATCAAATAGTGATTATTACTTCGTGATAACTCTGATTTTACGCTCAGTTAACATAAAAACATGTAAACATGCTACTTTAGATTAAATTTCATTAATTTTATTAAAAATAAATTATTTACTTTGCAATTTTCTAGGTATTTTGCGTGTCATCCGGTTCGGTAGAGCTAAATCCGGCCTTCAGAGATTATGAGGAGCGTTCTAATAAAATTAATGAGGTGCTCAAGGAGTTGCGATCCGAAAATACATTCATCGCGTTGAAAGGATGGCGAGATGAGGTAATATCATATTTTTCGCATTTCAATTCAATAACTTATTAAATGTATTTTCGTAGTGTTACGAAGTACGAACCGAATTCAACGCGGCCAGTTTGCTGCGATTGGATCGTTCGGCTACGTGCCTGTTTGGTATTCGCAATTATGGCGTCGATATCAACGGCTACGTGAAACACCCGACGATGGGCTTGTGTTTATGGTTACAACAGAGATCGGCAACCAAACAAACATGGCCCGGCAAATGGGATAACATGGTCGGTGGCGGATTATCCGTGGGTCATGGGATTTTAGAAACGGCGCACAAAGAGGCGATGGAGGAGGCCTCGATTCCTTCAGATTTAATGCAGAATCTAATTAGTGCCGGCTGTGTTTCGTAAGTTAAAGTTAACTGTATACAAATACCATATACTTGACTCATTGGGTCATTGTATGTTGATTAGCACAATACTGTGAATTGTTTTGTTATGGTTTAGGTTTTATTTCGAGTCGGAGCGCGGCCTATTCCCCAACACCGAGTTCGTGTTCGATCTGGAACTTCCGCTGGATTTTGTGCCCAAGAATCAAGATGGCGAGGTGCAGCAGTTCGAGCTGCTGCCGGTAGGGCAATGTTTGGAGCGGATTTTTCTCTCCGACTATAAGACCACCAGTATTCCGGTCACCTTAGACTTTTTAATCAGGCATGGGCTAGTTTCACCAGAAAATGGTAAGTTTTACTTTTATTTTCGGCATCAATAGCCGCAATTTTGATTATGCTTACAGAGCCGTACTATACTAGAATCATAGAATTACTCCACGTGCCGTTGCAAAAGATCTACAGCAATGCGAAGACAACTGTCCACAAACAAAACGGACAGAGCATTATCGAGAACAACGTCGCGTCGTAGATAACCCGCGGTGGCGTGGATAATAAGATGGCGCTGCGTTGCGACTCAAATTAGGCAAACTTTTAAACAAAACTTTCAACTTGTAGAATTATACAATACGTATTCGTACCGCATATGTGTGTAACCGGAAGCGAGACAACATGGCGCCTTAATTTTTCAACATTTTTACCGAGAAAATCTAGCGAAGCATTCGGAAATTCTATACGTTTCTGGATGCGTGTTTTAATAGTCGATCGTAGCAAACAAAAGATAAGAGTTTTTGCAGTAGCATTCATAGGCCTAACACACACACACAATTACTATTTACACACATCATGATTTCGATTGATGATTTGGCTGTGAATTTGCAATTTCACTGATTTTCAATGATTTCCTGCTTTAAAACGAATTCAAAACATGTTTTTGGCAAGGCATTTTTTTTATACTTAAGTAGTACTTAGAAATATATTATAGAAACCGGTTTTACTCCATCGTATTGATACTTAATTAGGTAGAATTTTGATTATGTGCCCTAGTCTATTTTGTTTTGTCGTGGCATTTTAGCGCGCGAAGGCTGAACACGATGCGGAACACATTGATGATGTAAATATTCGGCTTGTATTCTAGTCTCGCCGTCGATATATACACGTCGGTTTTGCTCTAGGAGTCGCTTTTAAGATGGTTACATTCAGAACAAACAACAATCACAATCAATACAAAAAACTAAACTGATTTGTTGCTTGTTTATGATTGAATTTGACACATATTAAATCAGGCTTTGTTTGGTTTAGATGAATAAGGGGTTTAATTTTACAAACGTTTAAATATTAATTGATTATAAACCCCTTGAGGAAATAAAACGCGTTCTAATCATGTGTATACTAATATCTAATGCTTACTTCACACACACACACACAAAACACGGTGCGTTCGTGTAGACTGTAAATAATTGTTTAGCTGCACATCACAACGAAATTTTTGCGAATTTGATTATTCTGTCTGCCAATTGTTACGTTCTGTGTTCAATTGTCCAACGCGCAGTCGCAGTGCTTCCTCAATGTCGAATGTCATATGTCAAGCACGCTGTATTTGTTTCATTTACCTGGTTTCCTGTTTGAGCGGGGCGAACGCAAACAAACATGTATTATTAACAAACATTATTTATTAATAAATTTATGCATTCCGAGAGAAGAAGAGAACAACGCCTCGACAAGCCCGAGGCGACAATTATTTTAGTGAACGACGAAAACTTGTTTGGACTCCCCGACTCTAAGAATGTTTCATATATATATATATACAATGTGTTCGTGTGTTTTGCTGTTTTTTTTTTAAACTTCTTCTAGGAACAATCTCCACAAAATAGATTCGTTTAATATCCGCTTAGTAATAGGGTTAGTTTTTAGAGTTTTTACTTGTGTTTGTTAAATCTTTTGTTTTCTTTTTGGAAGAACATTTTGAAAAGTTTGTACAACGAACGAACGATGAGAATGTAAAACACTGATCACTTTTCTTTGTAATACTTTGTATCGACTACGATACGAGTATGGTTACGATGTTGTCAACTGTCAGAAATTTGACAGTTGACAACACGTATTGGACAAACAGTCTAAAATGACTAAACTTTTGTACATTTTAGTTCTTTTTTTTTTTGTTGGAATCACGTCGATAATTTAGAATATTTAACAACTCGCTATCAACATTTTTGGTAAACAACGAAAACAAAAACAAAACAGGAATATTCAACAAGTACGGAGAAGTACATTCAAGAGAAGTTACATGAATCTACATGTAGATGGCGCTCACTTACAAACCTCTGTTCTGTGTTTCTGTAAATGTAAATGCGAAACTAAATATTGCACTGTAGATCCATAGTAGTAAAATAGTTATCGTCCAGCTTGAGCTTGGCGTGCTGATGATGGTTGTGGTGTTGCTGTTGTTGGTTGGTCTTTGGTCCGGTGAGGTTGAAGTTATTGTCGTTGTCCGCCGCCAGCAGCTCCGTGGTTGGTGAGTGAGGCGGCGATGCGTCCATCATCAGTTGTCGACCGAGCCACGCTTCTTTGTCGTCGCACCTGCAAACAAGCCAATCAGCCGCGCGCACACGCCATCACATATGCTCATCATCTGGTAACAAAGTATACTGACTCCTACAAAACAAAAATAAAACATCAAATCAAATAAAACAGGTTAGGCTAAAGAAAATTATAAATATCTAGGCTAGTTAAGCGCATACAAAAGCGAATTATAAGAAAAAAATTACCTATAAATTAATAATAAAGCTATCGCTCGTTTACGTGAGCGAATTTCGATAGAGAGAGAGCTTCGTCGTGTAATAATCTGACAAAAAAAGGTAAAAGCAAAATAAAGAGTTATTAGTTCGTTTGACAGCCAGGGTTAAATTAGCTTCCACCGTTTGAGATAGGCAACCACACTCACTCTTTCTGTTGTATCCGCCGCCGCGCCATTTGGTACAAATAGACAGCGAGCAGCGGAAATGGCGTCATCACAGCAACCGCCACTGGCACCACTACAGTCAGATCACCGGCGGGTTGCAGTAACGTCGTCTTGAGCAATCCTATCGCAATACCAGTGTTCTGGATGCCAGTCTCAACTGCAATCGCCAACACGTCGGGGTGCTCGCGTCCACAGAGCTTCGCAATAGAAAAAGCCAGGATGTATCCGCTCCATGGTAAACACATACCGGCAAGTACAATCTGAAACAATCTATTGTGCATGTTTTTCATGTGCATGTAGGGTTGCCTACCTTCCATGAAAACAGTTTAAAGATGTACGCTTGCGTGATCATTGCAAACACAATGATAAACGCGAGCAGGGCGCCGGATAAACCTTTCAAGATCCGCACGAGGAACTGCGACAAGCGCGGCAGGAAGCGCTGGATCAGATATCCGACGAATAAAGGTATGATTAGACACATTGAGAAATGCATGATACGTGTATATGGCACCGACATGTTGCCATCGTGATAAATCACTCTACCGAGTGTGAAAATCCAAAATGGCATCGACGCGAACGCCGCCAGCGTGCTCATCGTCGTCAGCGTTATGGACAAATCAAGATTTCCGCCGAGAATTAACGTCCACATGTTGGAAGCACCGCCACTCGGTACAATTCCAGAGAAGAACAACCCCAACTGCATTGGGACATTATCAGGAAAGATTAGCCTTCCAAGCATGAAACTTATCTACAAAATCATATTCATAGTAAGTTATACTGAGTAAAACTTTTTGGTAAAAGTTACCAGAGGCATGCAGATGACCTGAATGCCAAAACCTAAAATTGGCACCACAGGCCGACGCATATTCTCCTTCAGCGCTCCCCAATTGAACGCAGCGCCAAAGTTCACATACATCAATGTGATCAGACCAATGACGGACACATGGAAGACAATGTCCAGCGTAGACATTTTACGAATGACGATAAAGTTTAGGTTTTCGGTCGCTTCCGGCTCGGCATCGTGCTTGCGCCGAATTTGGACGGACACATTCGTCTGACCAATGAACACGCCGTAGACGTTGAATGACTCCGGGTAGTATTGCGTGTCTTTCTCTTTTTTTAACCATACTTCGGTGTTTTTCACTTCTATCACGTCGGGATTATTACTGTGCACGATAATCGTGTGTTCGGAATACGCTTTTTCGGGTCCTGCAATAATTAATCATATAAAATGGTTATAACTAGTTATAAACTAAATTCAAATTTATGACGTTTTGAATTTGACACATGCTGTCAAAAAGTTTCCGGCGGTGATTGAGGTTAAGTGCTCATTTACGCGCAAATTAAACGCGTTAGTCGTGTCGCAGGTGAGTAATTAAGTGCCCCGCAGGGGTTGTATTTACCTTGAATATCACAGGTGACGTTCGCGCTGGTGTACATCACGATGGTGCTGTTTTGCGGCGTGCAGGAGATTTGCCATTCGCTTGCGGTGGCATTGGTAGACGCTGCGGATGCGACGCATGTCACAGCAACGCCGAAGCAGATGAGCAGGAAATTTCGCGATGAAAGCATCTAGAACAAGACGAGCACAAATTCGATGTCACAACATGACACAACAGAAATTTATTGAGGGTGTAAAACGATAATAATTTCAAGGTAAGCATGGTAACGATGAGACAACAAAATGGCCGGCGATGACAAGTAACTATTAACCGCAAATTATGTTTTGTTATTACTACTATCATGTTATTGCAGTAATATCAATCATTTTTCACTTGATTCGTCTGTTTATTCTGTGGTTTCCCGCGTGTAGTGTGTACACAACTCAATTATCTTATCGCGGATAATTCCAGACACTTAAGCGCACGTAAAACTGTGCAAACAAGGCCGAAAAACTTTAAAACATTGCAAACAAGACGAATTAAAAAGAGATTTACACATAAATCAAATCAAAGCCGGTATATTACTAGATTTTTATAATTTAAAAGATTACGGTGTTGATTTGCAAATATTGTAACACCCTGTATGTTGTTTACGTCCGTTTACGGTCTATTGTTTTCCAGGGACGAGTTCAAGGTCTCCCGGGAGCGCTCGCGCGTCGTAATAGAGCTCCGCAGCGATTTAAATTCAACATGCAAGTTATGCAATTCCAAATTGAAACGCTGGCGACGCAGCGAGGGTGAATACCTAGAATGTAAGTTGATGGGGTTTGGGAAATGGTCGGGAAGCGTGCTAAAAGCCTGTCAGGTAGCAGGAATCGCATTTTCAAAATCACGCGAATCACGAATTGTTCGGCATTGCGTGATTTCCACCTCGCAAAAGATAAATTTAAGACGCGAAGAAAGAGGAATTCATTTAACTGAGATCTGACGTAAGACGTGGAACGCCATAATATGCTGATGCGAAAACCACTCCAGCGGGGCATCCCTGTCTCGTCTTATCTTGTCTGACGCTTGCAACAAGTGTGCACATTCTTAAATTCGCTGCCTCCCCATCCGCGCGGATGCGAATAGAGATTTGAAGAGCTGCGAATGTGTGGAGTGGAGAAAGATGGAAGCGCGTATGTGTGTGTAGGGGTGTTTATGTGTGACCCAGAATCCCAAATCACCCAGATTTTAATCTATACGCCGCCTCCAAGCGCGCACACACACGGATGCAAGCGAATGGGGCCAGCAGATACCCGCGTTGCCATGGGGGCATGTGGTTGGAGAACAACCGCGCGCATCGCGTTTCTGGGGGGCAGGTAAATGTCATGCGGTCTCGTGCCCTTTTTAGAAATAGACCAAGTCGGAATGAATTATTTATAACAACAACATGCTTCATTACAAAAAAAAAGATACAAATGCATAAACAAAACTGAAAGTAAGCATTGATTAATATTTAATATTTAACACATTGTTTACCTTGAAGTTTATTGTTGTGTGGCACATATTTAAACTGGTATGATTAGTGTTTGGAATGCCTCACGATTTTTTGCAACATTCGGAAGTGTGCGCGCTGTTTTTACACATTTTACACACGTCACGCATTTCAAACACTACCGATGCATGCATCTGCACTTGCACGCCACAGTGACACACTGATGTGTATGACTAATTCGAACTTGATTGAGAATTATGAGTTGGGAATTGATGGTGTTGCTTGCATAACAATTTGATTCCTGTGGTCACGTTGTACACGCGCGCCGCAGCAGATCTAACGGGACTTTCTTGTTGGTCTCTTCGTGTGTTGAATGTGTGTCTACCCTGAGGCGGCAGCGTACGAGCCGGTTGTCTCGTGCTCGACTGAACTGACCCGTGCAGCTGTGCGATGTGCTGCGTGCGACGTAAGCCGGCGAGTTTCTCCTGCTGGCTGCGCGCTTGCAAAAGCTGGAAGCGCGTACTAGCGGTTTCATTGGTGCCACATTAGAGAGCACATTGCATGATGGTGGGAGGCGCCGACGGCGGCAACTCTATTTACCAGGATACCAGTCACAAATGCATGCTTTGCATGACTTGGCAAAAATAAAACAGAAATAAAATTTAAAAAAAGGATAAAAGTGTATTTGGTTGCATACTTTGTGTGGTAGTCATGGTTAGAGAAAACTAATGCAACTTCATTTTATGATACCATGGTAACCATATATAAATCATCAATTTTTTTATTTTTATCATGTTTTGGACGGTATTTGTTGTGGTTAAATGCGAGAGAATGTTTGGTGCAAAAAGCGTACTGATAACAGCCTGTATTATTCCTGCTCCTGCCGCAGGTTCACGTGCGATGCGTCCGCTTCGTCCGCGTGCGATTATTGATTATGCCACGCGCGCGCTCTGTTTTGCTCTTCGCACCGCGGAATGAAATTTGTTTTTCTTCGCTCTCGCTGCCACAAAGTCCGCCTGCGACTCACGCGCTTCCCCTCAGGCTCCACCGCGTACAGGATAATAAATTCGAGCTGGTTTTTCTTTCCTGCGTAATATTCAATTTGCGCCTACCGAGGTCGCTTGAGTAAACACATTAAGAACGTGAATTTCTTCAACAATTGCAATATACAAGTTACCGTCAACTGATATTATGAAAAATAGATGAAATCACAAATTATCTAGCACTTTTTGTGTGTTTCTCTGCGGAGTAATATAGATTACTATTATTTAGGAGGAAATAAATTAGTGTAAATGTACGAGGAGTGCGAATTTATTAATATAATATTGATTCTTATTAATAAGGAGGAATAGATAAATCAAGTTTTATATTATCTTCTAGAATTTGTGAAGAATTGACATCTTGCTCAAGGCTACTAAAATAACAAATTTTCTGTGTTGTTATTTTAAAAATTTAATCTGAAAGTTTGTTTACAGTTTATTGCTTCGTGATGTTCTGGTTGCCTAGGTTATAACACCGCCTGCTTCTTTATTACTTCACGAAAGTATAAAGTAACCTCAAACATTTCACATTTGTTAAAGTTAAAGTTAAATAATAGTAATAATGAATTTACAAAGATTTTTACGGTTTACACGTAAGTTTAAATTAATGCACGATGCCGTTCTTTTATTAAGTGCTTTTATTTTAGATGTCCCTGTAAGGACTTCACAAATATGTGGAATGAAAAACTTTGAGCCACCAAAAGCCTATGATCGTAAGAAATTATTTACATTTATACAATTAATTCAACACAATGCACAAATATCATAAATATCAATATAATCTTATTCTTTTCTGCAATAGATATCACAATTCCTGACAAACCAAAGCTCAAATTCATGGATAAAGTTCCTGTCTATCAAGCAATGGTGAGACCACCAAAGATGCAAAAGAAACTCAAACTGATGATGGGGCCTGAGACAGTCCACAATGAGCTTCTACACAAACAGTATGGTATCATTGCTTTAGGCGGCGGCCGCCTTAAATTCGGACATTTGGAAATGGCGCGTTTGACAATCGGCAGAAAAATGGATGTTAACCGGATGTTCGCCATTTGGCGAGTGGACGCACCATGGCAACCTGTGACCAAAAAAGGGCAAGGCCAACGAATGGGCGGTGGTAAGGGCGCGATTGACCACTATGTAACTCCCATCAAGGCAGGTCGCGTGATACTTGAAGTAGCCGGCAAGTGTGAATATGCTGAAGTCAAGAAAGTTTTGGAAGAAGTCGCGGCCAAGCTGCCTTTTAAAGCAATGGCCGTCTCCCAAGAGCTCCTCGATGAAAAGGCGGCACATGAGAAATGGGAAGAGGAAAACAACGCGAATTATTATTCAATTAAGTATGTTATACAGAATAATCTAGGTGGATGTCAAGCAAAACTAAGGCCCAACGACCTGAAGTACTTCGGGAAATATATTTAAGTCAATAGAAGAAAAGTAAAATTATAATGCACATTCATTCAGTATTTGCGCCGTGGCAGGAAACCATTTTAGTAGATATACCCAATCGTGATTCGAAATTACAAATAGTTGGACGGGAGTTAACGCTTTATAGGTTGTTTCAAATTGTTTACCATGCAGAGCCTGAGCCTCACCAAAACTGGCACCCCAGTTCAGCGTTTCGTACTCTGAAGTCTTAAGAGTCGTGTCGATTGACAGCACTGTACCTTCAGCGATGAAATACATCCGTTTCCGTTTATCCCCCCGCTCGGCAATGGTAAACCCAGGCATAATAAACTCGTACCTCATGTATCTGATCATCTGCCGCAGAAAATCGCGATGTGCAAATTTAAACACCCGGTGTTTATAGAGCAAGTCTGCAGCTATGAAGGTCATGTGTGCTTCGAGGATGTAGTTTGGTGAGTTCAGAATCAACGACGGGAATTGCTCACCTCCGTGCTTGTAATATAAATGCATCAAGTAGTACCAGCACTGATTGACTATCGGTTTTGACACGTCTTCATGCTGGCAGTACGCTTTGAAGGTGATTACAGCTCGACGAAATTCCATGTCCGTGTAGTAGATCATCACAGCGAGCTTCGTGAAACCAGAGTTGATCAATACGTAGAGAATGTTTGTTAGGAAAACGGCGACGGTGATGTAGAATAATTTGCTAAAGTTTTCAACCCCTGGCGGGTCTATGCCTGCGGTGGTGAAAATATTTGCTACTTGGAGATAATTAGCGGCTATCTCCGGGGGTGACAGAGATTCTCCTTTTAAGAAGAATATTGTGGTGCAGATTAGGAAGCAAAGGGCATTCAAGCAGAACAGAAGCATGTAACTCAGGAATGAGAGACGCATGTGATTGGGAAGGTAGCGCGTGCGCATATACGTTGAGTAATAGACGAACATGTTCATAATACGGAGACTCTTGTTGGCAAGCAGGTAGCCTATATATTCACTGAAAACCAAACAGAATTAATTTTTAAGCGATTTAATTCCATATAAGCTAATGTAGACTTACTCCTTGATATATTTTGAAAAGAGATAAAACGGAATCAAAGTAAGGACGTCCCAGTAAAACTTCCAAGACTTCAGATACGCTTTGGTCAACTCCTGCACTCTGGCAAGTATCAACCCACTTTCCTCGTCTCTCACACCAATGTGACAAATCATATACATGTCTATAAGAAAATAAATGTCCACAATCATCCAGAAGTACGTTGATGTGCCCTCGCTACTGATGACAACCATGCTGATCAAAGCCACGATGCTCACTAATGGCGCCAAGTGCATTTCCGTAAAGTATCGAAAGAAAACAATGAACCTATTTCTATCATCAAATGTATACATGAACCAATTGCGCAGCGAGCACCTGGCGAATACGTTGATCTTCTCGCCGGTGTAGGACGACTTGGCAGGTTTCATCATTGACTCGATGTATTCACAATTCGTGAGGTGTGCGCATTTCATCTCGCGCTTAACATTCCGGAATATTTTCGTTATTTTTATGAATATGCTAGTGTCGATGACTAGTAAATCAGCATGCACCTTTGCGGTGACGGTAATCATGCTGCGATTGATGCCCTTTTGTTTAAAGCAGCCGAACATTCCGCCCGGTCCTAGAATGGCTACGGCTTCATCCGCGACGGATACTTCTACGAAGCCTTTCTTGACAATGAAGATGTTTCGGTTGATATCATTACAGCGAAGTATCGTCGCGTTGATGATGTAGTACTGTTCGGTGATGAATGGGGCTATGAATCGGTGTAGTTCACTGCCTTCCATTTCCAAGATTTTTGTTTGGTAGAGCGTTGGAGCGAACATTGCCAATTGGATCGCTTCCTGAATATGCGGATAGAAAGGTTCGAGTATATCCTTTGCTTCATCCGTGCGCGTCTTCTTGAACATATATTTATAGTGTTCTATTAGTTCGTCGATCAAAACTTTCGGGATTTGCATTTTGGACGCGAGGGTGTAGTAGCGCCTACGTCGTTCTTGGAAATTGACAAGATACTTGGTGCTAAATACATTGTGCCCGATAATTGATGCCTGATACCATATCCTTACCATACAGATAAATACTCCCAGGAAGCAGAAAAGTATATAGTCGTGCAATGTGAAGTACATTGATGAACGCGTCACATGCGAACTGATCACTTCGTAGTTAGTGCGAGAGTAGAGAAGATTCTGGTCGTGCCAATAGGAATAATTGGCATCCAGATGCAGCCAGCTATCGGTGGGGCAATTCCAGTACCAGTCATCGTCGATATCGCAGGTTTTCACCAACGCGAAGGCAGCCAAATGAGCAAGGATGATAATAATAAGTATGGTGTTCGTGCAGATCAAGATGGCGTTGTGGTATTCGATGAGGATCGTTTTTCGCAAGAAATTCAACAGGAAGAAAGGTCGATAGAGTTTCAGTGGTTGAAGGATCAGGCATATCATGATGTTCAATGAACTCTTGCTGCGGTCACGGAAGAGTTCAAAGACGTGCATGCGTTCATACGGCAACATGCTGATCAAGTCTATACTAAAACTATGCCGGAAGTAGTAGTTGAAAGTTGACTTGAGATTTGTAACACGGATTCCGGTTGGAGTAAAATAATGCACGTGTGCTCTCACGTACAAGTCCAGAATGTCGAATATCAGCACCACAACTTTTAGCACTTTGAACGGGTTGCTTACGCGAATGTATCGATGCAAAGATGTATACAACATAATCATTTCCATGAAGATGAGTAAACCGCGGAAGACTTCGTAATACAGATACAATCCGTGTGGGTCGAATGTCCGCATGAATGTGGAGTATATCCTGTTCCTTATACTGCCCCGGTTTAACCTTTGCCATTTTAAGTGTTTATTGTCATCTTTGCCAGCGTTTTCTTTGTAATCAAATATGGAGACTTGCGAAGATTTCTCGTGGGGTTCCGGATAGTACAACAACGGTAAGTGCACGATTCGCATGATCAAATTCTGATGAGAGGTGAGATTATCTTGAATTGCACCTAGTAGGATATCACCATCAACGGGGATAGCTTTCACACAACTCATAAAGTTATGATATTGTATGGCTAAGATCTTGACGGTTGTGTAGGTTTCGGCGTAGAGAAAGCTGTTTACTGCTTGAAAAAATCCAATGACAGGGAACATGTCGTACTGGGTATAGAAGAACTCCCTATTCTTTTCTTCATCTTCCGGTGTGAAGGATTGTACTTTACACCAGCCGTCTAGTATAATGTATAGAACTGGTACACTGGTGTCAGGTCTTTGCAGTACATGATTCACTGGTATGACGTAGAACTTGCAATAGGAGCAGACCAATTCCAGGAAGGCGTCGCTCATCGTAGAAAACGCTTGTGTTTTGCGCAGGGCTACCATCATGTATTCGTGTGTGACTTTATGCCGGACAAACTTGGATTGGTGACTCATCAGGCTGGCGATGTCGTTGAAAGACATGCAACTGGCGAAGAACCACTGCAAGGAGAAATACTCGTTCACTTTGGCGCGAAAACGACGCAGCTCAGGACGATCTTGAAAGACTGTGTTGAAGAAACTCAGATTGTACATGTACAAAAAGCGCGGATAGTTTTCCAGAGCAATGGTGCCGCACCATTGGCTCAGTGTCAAATTGATGAGGTAGAAACCGCATACGCAAATCAGGAACTGTCCGACCTGTTCGATAACATTCGTGGCTTGAAAGTGATGTATTTTCATCTGGAGGTAAATGGAAGATGTGTAGATAAAAGAGATGACAAAATCCGTGGTTTCAATGTCCCGACCAAAATTTGCGCGTGTTTGTTTCTTAATTGTTTCTAGCCAACCGTCTGCTTCGCAAATACCATTGAAACACGTCCATAAGTAGACGAAGCATGCACACAACAGGATGATCAAACAGTGAATGACAATATCTCTGGTGACTTTCCACGTGCGAGGCGAGACATTTAATAGGTGTTCATATGCAGTGAAAAATTCCACAACCTGACAAACATCAAAATGGTCATAATGATAATAATTAACCCCATTGCCACATGTTACCTTAATAAGCTTCATATACTTTGGCAATCTACACAACCCAATGTAATAGGGTGATGCTCCCATTAATGTAGCAAAATAATCATAAGGAATTGATGAAAACACGTCGATAAGAAACCGCAACTGTTTGCATTTGTACACGAGAATATCCATTGGCTTAGAAATGAACACATTGTGTACCCGCACCGCCGTAATCGCTTGAAAGTAGATGTCCAGCAAGTATAACATGTCAAAGAGCGTCAGTAATGCAAACACGTCCTTTGTGATCCGTCCCTCAAAGATAATCACATGGAACGTGAGCACGAAGTGCACCACAGCGCCCAGTGTACAAAATAAGTCCAGAAACTTCCGGAAACTTGACTCTTGCTCCATGACGAAGCTACATTTCCCGCGAACGCAAATCGAGTGCACTTTTAATTCGTAATAAGAACTGAGCACTATGAGACTCATGTATTTCGAGCAATAGTACTTTGTGAGTGGTTCCGGAGCCAGTGCTTTCGGGTATTTAGCTGTGTGACGCTTGTTCAGTTTGCGCCAACGGTATTTGATCCAATAAATATGTGATATAGGTTGATCCAAACGGCGCACACGTAGATACTTCTTGCGACAGTACTCAATTCGCTCATTGATAATCCGCTGCATGGTGGAGTTTAAATTTGAATCCCTAGCGAGCAGATTTTTCAGATCACAATGACGTAAAACGTGTGCTACACACGTAGTGCTGCATCTGATGTCAGCCGAACACATGTAAGGCAAAAGGCAACTTATCTCGCCCAGAATTGTGCCAGGACTAAAGGATAACACTGGCGAATCGCGGTTTTCAATCGACATTATTTCAACAATCCCCGATTGCAAATATATCAGCTTGGCTTTGATTTTGTCTTTGATGAACATGAGTTGTCCGGGAATGTAGATCTCAGTTTGGAACAGACGGCTGAGTTCCTTCTTATAGGTCTCATTCAGTGGGCTGAAGATCATCGAGTGCCGTATGGCGTCGAAGTATAGATCCATTGCGATTTCTGTTCGGAGTTCAGATGGAAACAGGCGGACGATGTCGGGAATTTCCACATACCCGCCACGCGTTGCCCAAATCGTGCGATAGTAGGTGTTGATTGCGTCCTGCAGAGGTTGGTCGAAGCGAAGTAGTTTGGTGAATGTGCCTACTTTGAGCAGGCGCCATTCATAGAAGTGCTTAAAGCGCATCAATTGCACGTAGACGGCGATGAGGTGAGAGTTGAGGTATACAATATGGCAGATGTAACTAATCATCAGCGCGACAGCGGCCACCTCCATCTCTGACAATGAGTAGTATGGCATAGGGGTGAGTATATCGCCGTAATTAAAACCACCAGCAAACAGGAAGCATACAATGGGTGTTTCGTAAGTGATGTTTTGACGTGTCAGGACATTGAAGCGGTCTGCCCACGTGGGCCCATTGTGGGAGTAATAAAATATTGTATAGTGGAGTGAACTCAACATCATGATAAAGAGGATTGACATCATTCCGTGAATGATTAGCACTATTGTTCTTGGATTACGTGCTAAATCATTGTAAAAACTCTGAAATCATTATTAATTACTATTATATTACCTAAAATCAGGTCTGGACATCTTACATGATACATTGAGTATAATCTAATCACTCGCGGCAGTTTCAACGCGAAGGCATAATAATACCCAATGCGGTAGTCTATCGGGTGATTCCAATCGAAACGATTGATCAGAAAGCAATACGATGCAACCGGCAGCAATGTAATGCAATCTACTATCAAGAGAAATATTGGTTCAGGCGGATAAACTTTCCGAATGCGATGTTCTTCTAAAATTCTACAAAAAATGTTACAAGTTAAAATATAATCAGATAGGCTGGTAAAGTGAGAGTGAACCTGTGTAAAATAGCCAATATTGTTCTTGCCAAAAACACTAATTCCAATATAGTGACGATGTGAAATAAAACTTCATCGTAGAATTTCCCATACGGCTGGTAGGTGATTATGAAGATTGCAATAATAATGGAACTGTACACTATCAGTGCAAAAATATAGGTTGAGAAGCGGTAAAAGGGTATATAGATGATGTCTTTCCATGTCAAACCAAAGCTCACCGAATAATCACTGACAATAATTTCGTCGAAGACAATATCATTTCTTGACACAGACTTTTTCTCGCCCATTTTATCGTGCGCTTTACTGTCTACGATTTATTTCACAATTAGAAATTATTATACGAGAATATCAATAGTTACTTATGTTTTTGTTTCAAAGATCGATTGATCTAGGTATTTATTTATATTGTGCAAGTGAAAATATTTAAAACACTACATTTTCTAGCAATAACTTTTTTTAAAGATGAAGTTGCGATAGTTTGTTAGTACAAAAGAAGTACTTTAGTCCTAAGACTACAAAACCATATAAAATACTCTCTTCATTTTACTAAGAATAAAGTAGGTAGATCTACAAACTTTTCATCAGAAAGTTTTAGTAAACACTGTGCTTGGCGTCAACGCCATTTTGCACATTCAAAATAATATGATGCATCATATTATATATTGCAATTACTCGAAATTGTATAGTTGAGTCTCATTCGGGGTACTGTACAAGGGCAGCGGTAGAAGTAACTCGTGTTCCGGGCACCGTATGAGGGTAGCGGTAGAAGTGACTCGTGTTCAGGGCACCGTACGTGAATGTATAGCTGACTCTCATTTGCCCATTTTATCTTGTGAATTATTTTTTTATATTTTAAATTTATTTATTTCCAATTTAGCTAGCCGGTCTTATAGAGAATTTTCCGTAGATTATGAATTTTCAATCCGCTTCTCTCTACCTTTTTTAGTTTTCGAGATATGCTCGAAGAATTTTCAAAAAATGAATATGTTCACTTTTTAGCACTTCTAAACACGACTTCAGAACCTTTATACTAATTAATATATAATATATAATAATTCTAATTATTTTCTTGTTTCTTCTTATAGAGAATTTTCCAAATTTTCATACCCTTTGATTGGTTGGTTGCTAGCACGTTTAGTTTAAAAGATATTCGCTACCGGAAAACCTCTATATCTATCAGCAAGCGGGGCATTCGACGCGAGAATTGTGTTGGTGTATAAACAACTTTCTTATCGCATTTGCTGTGCGAGATGCGATGCGCATAATTCTCGCCTGTCTTCGCGCTGTCGCATGCCGCACATTTTAGTTTAGTTCTTATTGCAGGTACATTGTCAAATGAAATTCGCGCTCAAGGTCTCATGCCATCGACGCGTCGGCTTTGCGCATCTATTGCTTCTACCTGCGGGGTTCATGCAGCTGGCACAGAGTCTTATTGTACACAGTCTAGTTTAGTTTAGATTGCAGATATCGTGCCTATTGCAATTCGCACACAAGGTCGCGGGCCATCGACGCGCCGACTTCGCGCACCTCTTGATTTCTTATCATAAACTGTCGCGTCATTGCTTGCGCAGTTGGCGGCTAGTTCGTGCCGGTCTCTGATTGTTGCGGACGTGTTTCTCGCGACTCGTATCGTTTGTCCGAACTTCTATTTCCAAATTCGCATTATATTCGTTCATCAATGATCTATTTAGTTTTAACTTGCGACTATAGTAATGATATTTATTATTTGTGCGTAAGTGTCGAGTTGCTAGGTGAATACATTTATTTATCATTAGGATGACCCATCGTGCTGGTGTGAGTAACTTTTGTGTAAACAGCATAGATGTTTTTTTTTCACCGTTTGAATATAATATAACATGAATATAATGTTTTCTTTTCTTATTTACAGTATTTGCGGTGTCTAGGAGTCCGATGTGTCCTGCATTGGTAAGTTTATAATTCAATTATAAAATTAATTGATGGGCTACTCAACTGCGTTCAAACTAAACTATCGGCAAACTATCGGCCGACTGCTATATCAAAATGGAGCTCCTCGCAAGCGCGCACACCGACCGATTGTTTAGTCGGCCGACTCGACCAATGGTTCAGTTCGCTCCGAGTTTTGGCGATAGTTATGGTCATCCGATAGTAGTGTGCTTAGTGTACGCGCTAACAGCCCAACTCGATCAAACTATTGGCCGATAAATAGTTTGTGGTCTGCGGGGGCTCTTAGAGATGCGGAATTAAATTCTCCGTCAGGTGGTTTTTTTTTGTTGCAGGAATTCGCTCTGCAATCCGCAATAATTTGCTTTAAAATAGATTTTTAACTGTTTTTCGTGGAATATTTGTATTTTCTCGGGTTTGTATGCGATCTAGGCGACTTAATAATTTCAGCTTGGCGTTTTCGCATCAGAATATAAGTATTTAATTTCTTTGTGATTTTCCTAAATAATTATAGTGATAATGTCACAAATTAACCCCTAAAATTGCATTTTTATGTTTGAAATACTAATTTTTGCTGGTTTTAGGGATTTTGCACTTGAGTCTGACATTGTAGAAGGACTATTCTGGCATCAGATTGTAAGTAATTAATTCCTTTATCATTTTCCTAAATAACTTTTATGATTATGGTACAAATTGACCCCAAAATTGCATTCTTATGTTCGAACGACTAATTTTTGCTTGTTTTAGTGATTTTGCACCTGAGTCTGACATCGTAGAAGGACCATTTCGATATCAGGTTGTAAGTATTTAATTCCTTTATCATTTTCCTAAATAACTTTTGTGATTATCTTAGAAATTAACCCTTTAAATTGCATTTTTATGTTCGAATGACTAATTTTTTCTGGTTTTAGGTATTTTGCACCTGAGTCTGACATCGTAGAAGGACCATTCTTGCATCAGATTGTAAGTATTTAATTTCTTTATCATTTTCCTAAATAACTTTTGTGATTATCTCACAATTTAACCCTTAAAATTGCATTTTTATGTTCGAATGACTAATTTTTCTGGTTTTAGGTATTTTGCACCTGAGTCTGACATCGTAGAAGGACCATTCTTGCATCAGATTGTAAGTATTTAATTTCTTTATCAATTTCCTAAATAACTTTTGAGATTATCTCACAAATTAACCCTTAAAATTGCATTTTTATGTTCGAATGACTAATTTTTGCTGGTTTTAGGTATTTTGCACCTGAGTCTGACATCGTAGAAGGACCATTCTTGCATCAGATTGTAAGTATTTAATTTCTTTATCATTTTCCTAAATAACTTTTGTGATTATCTCACAATTTAACCCTTAAAATTGCATTTTTATGTTCGAATGACTAATTTTTGCTGGTTTTAGGTATTTTGCACCTGAGTCTGACATCGTAGAAGGACCATTCTTGCATCAGATTGTAAGTATTTAATTTCTTTATCATTTTCCTAAATAACTTCTGTGATTATCTCACAAATTAACCCTTAAAATTGCATTTTTATGTTCGAAAGACTAATTTTTACCTGTTTTAGGATTTTGCACCTGAGTCTGACATCGTAGAAGGACCATTCTTGCATCAGATTGTAAGTATTTAATTTCTTTATCATTTTCCTAAATAACTTTTGTGAGTATCTCACAAATTAACCCTTAAAATTGCATTTTTATGTTCGAATGACTAATTTTTGCTGGTTTTAGGTATTTTGCACCTGAGTCTGACATCGTAGGAGGACCATTCTTGCATCAGATTGTAAGTATTTAATTTCTTTATCATTTTCCTAAATAACTTTTGTGATTATTTCACAAATTAACCCTTAAAATTGCATTTTTATGTTGGAAAGACTAATTTTTGCTTGTTTTAGGGATTTTGCACCTAAGTCTGACATCGTAGAAGGACCATTCTTGCATCAGATTGTTATTATTAAATTTCATTATCTTTAATAACTTTTGTGATTATTACCCAAATTGACTCCCAAAATGTATGCTTGTGTGTTTTCTTTAATAAAGAATATTTTAAAGTTGTTCTAATTAAAATTATTTCTGTTATTTCTACCCGATCACATATTTAACGATCCCTTAAAACATTTATTTTGAAAAGTGCATGCTAGTGCCATCTATCAATTAGAAACTACAACAACCGAAAATTTTGAGCTTCGGTCCGTCGCCACCAGAGGCAGCACCTTACTAGTTAGCGCGAAAACTTTATCAGCCTCCTCAACTTTCTGCGATCCTAATATTCAATCTTTATTTTGTCGACTCTGAGAGGCAAAATGACACAAATTTTGGACTCGAAACAGTCGAAACTCAGGTTTTGCTATTCGGATCGCAGAAAGGGTGAGGAGGTATATAAAAGAGGCGGTAACTAGTAATGGCGGGTAAAATGAATGTTTAAAAATCTTTATTCAGCAAATTCGGTTTTCGAATTCTGAATTATCTCGACAACTAAGAGGGCTAGAAAATTAAGAACAACATATTCTTGATCCTTGAAAAATTCCCTACAAGGTGGCATCATTATTGAAAAATCATCAAAATGGCACAAAAAATTTTTAAAGAAAAGATTTTGTTATAAAAAAGGCAAAAGATTTCTCTTTTTTATGATGAAAATTGAAAGTTGGAATTTTTAAATTCTGTTTTCGAATTCTGATAGATAATTTAATTCTACATCAATTATATTGGTATTTTTTTGCTAGCCATTAACTGCATAGGCCCTATTTGTAATTTTATAGAAAAAATTGAATATGTACCGAAACAAACTGAAATAATATATATAATAATTTAGCGGGAACCGCCTATGCCCACTTTCTGTGTTCCTAATACTACAGACTGATGAGCAGCAACATTTCAGCAAATTTCTCGACAAATTTTGTCGAGAAATCCATTGAAATTGGTGACAAAATTCTTTTGAATATTAGGATCGCAGAAAGTTGAGGAGGCTGAATCTCCAGCAATCTTGAATAGCGGCGTAACTTTAGTTACTCGTGGATAGATGACACTAGTGATACCGTTTTTAAATTAATATTGATACAATATAAAATTGATTTTGAACTATTTCTCATATCTAGCAGTGGCATTTCCATTAAAGTTTAAGGGTTTTATGGATTAATTAAAGGAGTAACGATGTTGTTCTCCGTTTGGAACAAATAAAACAATAAAAATTTATAGTTAAAAGTATAAAACAACAATTTTATTCAAACATGTTGAATATACACCCATCAGTAACTCAATTTCTCAATATATACATGAAATTATACAATGGTCTTTTTTACAATTTTTAACATAATAAACAAAAATGATATCAATAACAGCTTCGAAATGTTGTAAATTCATTCAATCGAATTTGGAATCATCATCAACACCGGCAATCCAATCTTCAATTTCTTGGACACTATAAACCAGAAAGAATAACAGAATAGTAAAATATAAAATATTATAATTTGCCAAAATATAACATACGTTCTTGGAACTTTAGTCCAGTTGCAACATCCATTTTCAGTAATCAAAACATCATCCTCAATACGCACTTCACCAGTACCACGAAACCACTCCAGTTGGTCATTATTGATAAACCTGGCCATCTCAGGATTAGCCAATGCTTCATCTAACAACTGGAAAATATTTATGTAAATAAATTATACATATACATAAATTAAATTAATTATTCTTACAAGATCCATAAAGACTCCCATTTAGGGCACCGTACGAAGGTGGCGGTAGCAGTAACTCCTAGAATCAAACCTATATTAGTCGTGATAATCAAATTTAAAGCTGCGTAACAAAACTACAATTCCTAGCGCAACGAGTACTACGGCGCAAACACAACTTTCAATATAACTCGCGTTACGGAATTTTCTTACAATTAGGTTCTATACAGGGGGATACAAAATTAAATTCCGCATCTAGGAAAATTATTTCAAACTAATTGTAACACCGCGCTCGCGAGTTATAACAAAAAAACTACAATTCCTAGGGCAACAAGTACTACGGCGAAAACACAACTATCAACATAACTCGCGTAACGGAATTTTCTCGCAATTAATTTCTATACAGGGGGATACAGAATTAAATTCCGCATCTAGAAAAATTATTTCAAACTAATTGTAACACCGCGTTCGCGAGTTATAACAAAAAAACTACAATTCCTAGCGCAACGAGTACTACGGCGCAAACACAACTATCAATATAACTCGCGTTACGGAATTTTCTCGCAATAAATTTCTATACAGAAGGATACAGAAAAAAATTTCGCATCTAGGAAAATTATTTCGAGCTAATTGTAACACCGCGTTCGCGAGTTATAACAAAAAAACTACAATTCCTAGCGCAACGAGTACTACGGCGCAAACACAACTATCAATATAACTCGCGTTACGGAATTTTCTCGCAATTAGGTTCTATACAGGGGGATACAGAATTAAATTCCGCATCTAGGAAAATTATTTCAAACTAATTGTAACACCGCGTTCGCAAGTTATAAAAAAAAAACTACAATTCCTAGGGCAACGAGTACTACGGCGCAAACACAACTATAAATATCACTCGCATTACGGAATTTTCTCGCAATGAATTTCTATACAAGGGGATACAGAATTAAATTCCGCATCTAGGAAAATTATTTCAAACTAATTGTAACACCGCGTTCGCGAGTTATAACAAAAAACTACAATTCCTAGCGCAACGAGTACAACGGCGCAAAACACAACTTTCAATATAACTCGCGTTACGGAATTTTCTTACAATTAGGTTCTATACAGGGGGATACAGAATTAAATTCCGCATCTAGGAAAATTATTTCAAACTAATTGTAACACCGCGTTCGCGAGTTATAACAAAAAAACTACAATTCCTAGCGCAACAAGTACTACGGCGCAAAACACAACTTTCAATATAACTCGCGTTACGGAATTTTCTTGCAAAAAATTTCTATACAGGGGGATATAAAATTAAATTCCGCACCTACAAAAATTATTTCAAACTACTTCGACGATTTTTGATCATTAATATTTCTCAAACTAAAAGCGCTAGCAATCAACAAATTGCTGATTATGAAAGACTGGAAAATTCTCTATCAGATAAAAGTATAAAATAATTATATTTCCAAGAGTAAAAGGTCAAAAAACGCCACTAAAAGTACTAAAAAGTGACATTTATCAATTTTTGCCCATTTTATTCAATAGGATATTTAAAAGGGAAATCTGAGAGATGAAATTTTACGTCTTAAGAAAAAATTGCCAAGGGGGGGTGCTTGATACTTTTTTTCGACGATTTTCAAAAATTCATATCTCTTAAACTAAAAGAGATAGCTACCAACAAATTGTTGATTATGAAAGATTGGAAAATTCTCTATCAGATAAAAATATAAAATAGTTATATTTCCTACAGTAAAAGGTCGAAAAACGCGACTAAAAGTGCTAAAAAGTGACATTTATCAATTGTTGCCATTTTATTCAATCGCGAATATCTCGTAAACTAAAAGAGATAAATAAGATCTGATCGCAGCGTCTTAATCTACGGACCAATCTCTATCAGATAGGATAGTTAAAAGGGAAATCTGAGAGATGAAATTTTAAGTCTTAAGAAAAAATTGCCAAGGGGGGGTGCTTGATACTTTTTTTCGACGATTTTCAAAAATTCATATCTCTTAAACTAAAAGAGATAGCTACCAACAAATTGTTGATTATGAAAGATTGGAAAATTCTCTATCAGATAAAAATATAAAATAGTTATATTTCCTACAGTAAAAGGTCGAAAAACGCGACTAAAAGTGCTAAAAAGTGACATTTATCAATTTTGCCGATTTTATTCAATCGCGAATATCTCGTAAACTAAAAGAGATAAATAAGATCTGATCGCAGCGTCTTAATCTACGGACCAATCTCTATCAGATAGGATAGTTAAAAGGGAAATCTGAGAGATGAAATTTTAAGTCTTAAGAAAAAATTGCCAAGGGGGGGTGCTTGATACTTTTTTTCGACGATTTTCAAAAATTCATATCTCTTAAACTAAAAGAGATAGCTACCAACAAATTGTTGATTATGAAAGATTGGAAAATTCTCTATCAGATAAAAATATAAAATAGTTATATTTCCTACAGTAAAAGGTCGAAAAACGCGACTAAAAGTGCTAAAAAGTGACATTTATCAATTTTTGCCGATTTTATTCAATCGCGAATATCTCGTAAACTAAAAGAGATAAATAAGATCTGATCGCAGCGTCTTAATCTACGGACCAATCTCTATCAGATAGGATAGTTAAAAGGGAAATCTGAGAGATGAAATTTTAAGTCTTAAGAAAAAATTGCCAAGGGGGGGTGCTTGATACTTTTTTTCGACGATTTTCAAAAATTCATATCTCTTAAACTAAAAGAGATAGCTACCAACAAATTGTTGATTATGAAAGATTGGAAAATTCTCTATCAGATAAAAATATAAAATAATTATATTTCCTACAGTAAAAGGTCGAAAAACGCGACTAAAAGTGCTAAAAAGTGACATTTATCAATTTTTGCCGATTTTATTCAATCGCGAATATCTCGTAAACTAAAAGAGATAAATAAGATCTGATCGCAGCGTCTTAATCTACGGACCAATCTCTATCAGATAGGATAGTTAAAAGGAAATCTGAGAGATGAAATTTTAAGTCTTAAGAAAAATTGCCAAGGGGGTGCTTGATACTTTTTTTCGACGATTTTCAAAAATTCATATCTCTTAAACTAAAAGAGATAGCTACCAACAAATTGTTGATTATGAAAGATTGGAAAATTCTCTATCAGATAAAAATATAAAATAGTTATATTTCCTACAGTAAAAGGTCGAAAAACGCGACTAAAAGTGCTAAAAAGTGACATTTATCAATTTTTGCCGATTTTATTCAATCGCGAATATCTCGTAAACTAAAAGAGATAAATAAGATCTGATCGCAGCGTCTTAATCTACGGACCAATCTCTATCAGATAGGATAGTTAAAAGGGAAATCTGAGAGATGAAATTTTAAGTCTTAAGAAAAAATTGCCAAGGGGGGGTGCTTGATACTTTTTTTCGACGATTTTCAAAAATTCATATCTCTTAAACTAAAAGAGATAGCTACCAACAAATTGTTGATTATGAAAGATTGGAAAATTCTCTATCAGATAAAAATATAAAATAGTTATATTTCCTACAGTAAAAGGTCGAAAAACGCGACTAAAAGTGCTAAAAAGTGACATTTATCAATTTTTGCCGATTTTATTCAATCGCGAATATCTCGTAAACTAAAAGAGATAAATAAGATCTGATCGCAGCGTCTTAATCTACGGACCAATCTCTATCAGATAGGATAGTTAAAAGGAAATCTGAGAGATGAAATTTTAAGTCTTAAGAAAAAATTGCCAAGGGGTGCTTGATACTTTTTTCGACGATTTTCAAAAATTCATATCTCTTAAACTAAAAGAGATAGCTACCAACAAATTGTTGATTATGAAAGATTGGAAAATTCTCTATCAGATAAAAATATAAAATAGTTATATTTCCTACAGTAAAAGGTCGAAAAACGCGACTAAAAGTGCTAAAAGTGACATTTATCAATTTTTGCCGATTTTATTCAATCGCGAATATCTCGTAAACTAAAAGAGATAAATAAGATCTGATCGCAGCGTCTTAATCTACGGACCAATCTCTATCAGATAGGATAGTTAAAAGGAAATCTGAGAGATGAAATTTTAAGTCTTAAGAAAAAATTGCCAAGGGGTGCTTGATACTTTTTTCGACGATTTTCAAAAATTCATATCTCTTAAACTAAAAGAGATAGCTACCAACAAATTGTTGATTATGAAAGATTGGAAAATTCTCTATCAGATAAAAATATAAAATAATTATATTTCCTACAGTAAAAGGTCGAAAAACGCGACTAAAAGTGCTAAAAGTGACATTTATCAATTTTTGCCGATTTTATTCAATCGCGAATATCTCGTAAACTAAAAGAGATAAATAAGATCTGATCGCAGCGTCTTAATCTACGGACCAATCTCTATCAGATAGGATAGTTAAAAGGAAATCTGAGAGATGAAATTTTAAGTCTTAAGAAAAATTGCCAAGGGGGTGCTTGATACTTTTTTCGACGATTTTCAAAAATTCATATCTCTTAAACTAAAAGAGATAGCTACCAACAAATTGTTGATTATGAAAGATTGGAAAATTCTCTATCAGATAAAAATATAAAATAGTTATATTTCCTACAGTAAAAGGTCGAAAAACGCGACTAAAAGTGCTAAAAGTGACATTTATCAATTTTTGCCGATTTTATTCAATCGCGAATATCTCGTAAACTAAAAGAGATAAATAAGATCTGATCGCAGCGTCTTAATCTACGGACCAATCTCTATCAGATAGGATAGTTAAAAGGAAATCTGAGAGATGAAATTTTAAGTCTTAAGAAAAATTGCCAAGGGGGTGCTTGATACTTTTTTCGACGATTTTCAAAAATTCATATCTCTTAAACTAAAAGAGATAGCTACCAACAAATTGTTGATTATGAAAGATTGGAAAATTCTCTATCAGATAAAAATATAAAATAGTTATATTTCCTACAGTAAAAGGTCGAAAAACGCGACTAAAAGTGCTAAAAGTGACATTTATCAATTTTTGCCGATTTTATTCAATCGCGAATATCTCGTAAACTAAAAGAGATAAATAAGATCTGATCGCAGCGTCTTAATCTACGGACCAATCTCTATCAGATAGGATAGTTAA